GAAAGAAAAGATAATTTTGATTTTATTTAAATTAATTGTAATTCACTGGCAGCATCTAGCTAACAACCTGAAAAATAAGGTTGGGTATACTTTTTCTGGACTGTTCAAATACAATCACAGCTGTCAACTTTTTAATTTATCCAATTAATAAGGCTACCCAGTTCAAAATAATTGTTAGGTCTTAAAACAAATTGGTTCAAGAAATCCATACTGGCAGTTCTGTTTAGAAAAACTTAAAGTCAAGATCTGTCGAAATAAAAGGGTTCTACCATTCTGGTGAAGGAATTCATGGAGTAAGTATGGGAATGTAAACCTTAATGTTGATGAGGTTGATAAATAACTGTTCTGAACCCATACAATTTAATAATGCTATGTGTCTGAATTGGAATAGCAAAATTTTAATTCTGTGGTGTCTACTTTTAAATATTGTGTTTATGTAGTAATATCTCTGCTGGAAAAAAAAGTTTAAATATATTTCAGGCCATAATTAAAGGCTGGAAGCAATTCTGTTACTGTTACAACCAGCAGCCTTTGGCAGATTTTCAAAAAAAGGAATTGCTAGATATAAAGAAAATAACTTTTTTGTGGATACCTTTTACCATTAAGCTTTTACTAAGGGACAGATAATAGATGGTTGTTGCTTTAGGGCAGGGGTGTCAAACTCGCATTGTCATGGCAGCGTCACGTGATGTATCGTGACTTTTTCCTAAACCATGCATGGGCATGGTCACTGTGTGACGCATCAGGGCCTGTGGGCCATGAGTTTGACAGCCCTGCTTTGGGGACATGAATAATGGATTTTTTTTAAAAAAATGTAAGTAATCAACAAATTAAAATCAGTCAATCTGTAACTGAACTAATACTATATGTTAAAAGATGGCAGGAATGTTATGGCTGAAATGAAAGCCGTGAACTGTCAGAGACCAGGTTTTCTTTCCCTATTTGCATACGTCCATCATATCCAAGGAAACTATTCTTTTCACAGAACGAAGTCCCATCACCTTCCTTGTTTGCTGAAAAGAAAGAAGTATTGGTCATTTTTAACAGGATGAAATTCACTACAGGCAGTGGAGATGCAGCCCCCTGCCGTTTTTTAAAGCAGGTTTCTCAACTCCATCTGCTGTCTGGAGAATTCTGAGAATTGATGTCCACACATCTTAACAATTGCCAAGGCTGAGTTTTAGTGGTCAAAAGCAAACCTAATAAGGAAGAGGCAACAATGTACCATACCTGTGCAAAACGGCAGACTTATTTAACTGCAGATGTTAGTCTTTTAAGGACTTGTGCATCAGCATTGCTCCACTCATTAACAAGAGACAAGGCTATTTCCGGCACTGCTGCTGCATCTAAAAAACAGGTTGTTCCGTAACAAAGCAACAGCTCTTATACAATCAAACTTGTCTGGCTTTCTCTTTATGGACCCAAGGTCCTGTCTGCCCTAGAATTTCCAGCTCTGCAATTCAAATTCTTATAAAATATCGTATCTTTTTGTTCCTTGCTCTTCCCCTCTATATCTGCTTATATACAAGCTAAATGTTTATTTTCTTTTTTTAAAACAAAAACCACATGAATGCTACATTTGTTTCTGTTATCCAATCAGATTACAATAAACAATTTAATTAAAGCTACCAAGTCTGTGCCCTTAATTAAAATTTTGAGGATAAGACTGATTTGGGTTGTTGTTAGCCACAACAAAAAATAAAGAACAAGGAGAATTAAAATTAAGCATAATTTTTGAGACTTTATCATAAACCTGCAGATAACTTTGGATGGGTGAATATCACAGCTGTTATATGAACTGTAAATAAAATGTGCAAAAAGGATAACTTAGCAAGAAAAAGGGTGGGGTTTTTTGTGTGCAATACAGCAAAGTACATCTGTTCATAGCAATTTATAGCACAGATTCATCTGTTGTCTTCTGTCTTGTGTTGTACATTGTCAAATATGCCAGTATATGGCTGAAATGCTAACTATTTACAGCAGGGATCCCCAACCTTTTTGACGCCGCGGCCCGGTACCGGCATCAGCTGGGCGCCGCCATCTTTTTTTGATGAAAACGTGCTTCCGGTGAGCTTTCTACCCGGAAAAGCTCACCGGAAGCACTTTTTTACCAAAAAAAGATGGCAGCGCCCAGCAACCAGCGGCCCGGTAAGAGTAGTTCCGCGGACCGGTATCGGTCCGCGGACCGGCGGTTGCGGACCCCTGATTTACAGGATAATTTACTCCTGTAAAGTCCATCTAGCACTCTTAAATCTTCAACATATTTTTAATACATCTTCCTGCCATGGATAAGTTTAATATCAACAATCAGTTTGGCTTTCTCGATCCATTGTATAGAATAAATTACCACTGAAGTTGCAATAAATTTTTTCTGCATTAAACTTCAGGAAAATCTTAAAATTTATTTTCACAAACCTCTTAATGTTACTATTTTAACATTCATGTTTGATACCAGTCCTATTTGTTTTTACAGTGTTTTTAATGTTTCTTAGATGCTGTCTAGCATCATTAAGGGAGCAAGGTGGTACACATGGTCTATAGAATTTATAAACAAAAATCTCACTCATAATGGTATTTCTAAAGCATTCATCACTAGAAGCAAATAACCAAAAGGAAAGTTATAACTGTGGTGCCTCAGATGTTGCCAAATACAAGTACTAATATCTTTCACTACTTGCTATACCAAGCATTCAGAACTGCTTCTGAAAAGTGTATTAGCATAAAAAAATGCCTCTCTTCAAAACAACTGCCTCCATTGCAATACTTGCAGAGATGCCCACAAGGTGTGGTTAAAAAAGTAATGACAGTGCTTAAGGCAGAGTGAGAAAAGCTCCGTATTTTATGTTTGCTTGTGCCAATGTAGCTGCCATCTTGAGTTTATCACTACAACCTGTGAACATCTCTGAAAATTTGTGTGTAGCTGGTTTGAAGGCTGTCCCCAATTGTTTTTTTCATGTGCATTCCCAAGTAAGGAACAAGCTGGCAAGTGCAATGCATAGGTTGCCTAGGTGTACCCATGTAAACCAGTTGGCACCATTTTCAGTTACTGATACAAGACATACAAAAGACATGGCTGATTTAAGCTCCCAAAGAGAAATAGTTTGCTTGCATTAATGCATTCTGAGAAATATCTTCAGAATGCTTTGCATTACCCATCTATTAGCTATTAATCACTGAATTTTAGGATCACATGGAATGCCAAATAATTAATTCCTGCAAGAAAAGCTACCTTTTGCATCAAACATTATGAACAAGTTGGAGTGGGCTGTTTAATATACATAATCAGAATTCTTACTGTCTTAATTTCCACTTTAACACAATTATGTATGGTGGGTGTTTATCCCTAAATGCAGTGCTGTATGGGAAGCTATCATATTTTCACCTATATTCAAAATCCCTTCTGTATGTCTAAATCTGCACCACAGAGCTCTGTACAAGAAACCTTAGGTAAAGATGGAACCCTTATTTTAGGAAATGTATATTCAGTTCTACTGCTTGTCCTTGTTTTCCAGTTGTTTAGAATTCATAGTAAAACCATGACTAAAATGTTGGTCTTCAATAATGATAGTGATACTCTGTTAATGTGATTTAAAATCTATCCATGTTCTAATTAAATCTTAGAATCTCATTCTGTAGGGCTAATAGGAATGGCAAGGTAGGCTGCACAGTTAGAACTGGGATAGTGGTAGAGAGAAGCAACCACGCTTTTAAAACATAATTGTATTCTGTATGTTACAAATTGTAGCTAAAATCATTAAGCGTTCATGACAGCCGGATCTCCATGGAAATTTAACACACTAAAAGAACATGGCTATTTTTAGACCTGAGAAGTTGGGAAATCTATCTGGGAAACAAGCTGCTTTTCAGTTCTCAATGGAAAGTGGCTAAGATTAATTAGGTGATAAAAGTAACATATCTGATTCTCAGAAAGAATTTGCTCTCAGTGGGAGATAATCTTTCTAAATCAAGAATTGCAATGGTCCTTATATTTTCTTTCTTTTTACTCCCTCCCCTTCAAGCCATGGCTTATTAAGTACAATATTTATAAATACTGAATCCCAAACCATAATTATAATGAAAAAGGATGAAATAGCATCTGAAAGCAACAAATACGTGCAGTGAAACACTGATAAACATAAAATATAGTAAAACATTGGATTGTTTCAACACACAACAGATATTCCATTGTTTGGGAAGAAGTCCATTATTACCTGAAATCCAGGTTTTTGTCTTGTTATTGCCAATATTTACTGGATCAAAGTCCATAAAATTGAGAGTTTGTAAAATCAAGCATTTCCTAGGTCTAAACTGCTTTGTTTCAGTAAAATGGTTGTATAAACGGATCTTAACAATTCCTGAGTGCCAGCACTGCTACTTACTCTGTCAATGGGGCCTTTATATATATATATATATATATATCTGCACAACCTTTCCACCATTTACTCTTCTGTGAGAAAATAAGTTGACTCTATTATAACAGCCTGCTGCATTTGTTACCTTCCACCACAATTAAGTTTCACCACACACTTTGTTTATAGCTCCATTCAGCTTCAGCAGCATAAAATGTCTCCTTCAAATTTCTTAGAGTCAGGAAACATGACAGACAATAGAAGGCAAATGGAACTTAGTTCATATAAATTTATTGAACAGTAGCAGTCAGAGATGAGGATGTTAACACATTATTTAATAACCTTAAACAATCTGCAGTGGCCAATCATAATAACTTGCTTCTTTTGGATAAGAATAACTGCCTTTTTGAAACTAGCAAGGAGCACACAGAAAATCAAAGACACTATTCATAGCACAATTTTATTGCAAAGCTTTTTACCCAAAGTCTCAGATGGATACAAAAATAAAAAGCAATAATCATTGTGGTCAATAAGATAGTACAATTTAGAAATAATTTTTAATTATGTCATTCAGTTTAAAATACATACAAAACAAATTAAGAGGAAGACATTAATGTACACAAATCCAACAAATTAGTTATTAAGTTATAACACTAAAATAAAAGAAAAAAGAAACAAATTAATATACCAATTTGATAAAAATCACCTAAATAGATGACATATTCATTTAATAACAATATATCAAATTACATATAGAAATGTGTCTACTTTTGCAAAATATTATGAAATCTGTAACAGAGAAACGTATTGTATCTTAATTAGTATATAAAAATAATATTTTAAAATGTGATATATTTCTTGAATCCAGTCTGTGATATCCTGATAATAGGACTTTTCTTGTACCTCTGTATTAATCTCTGGGATATTCCTCACATTTGATATAACCAATGTTTCTCAAAATTGGTCAGGTTTCACAATTTTTGAATATAATTCACAATAATACTGAATCTTTAATTTCAAACTAGTTTAAACTTGGAAATATTTACTAATCCATCTACTAATACATATTATTACTCTAAAAATGAACCAGATCTTGCCACAGCCAAATGTATTTATTATATTGCCAACAGAGATACAGTCCATTCTTTTGATTCCTTCTTGAAGAGGTAATATATTTGGAATAAACTCTTTCATTAATTAATTTTAATCTAAAGTTTAAGACTTGCATGCACTGGTATTTCATGACCCGATATTCCAATTCTTTTTTCCATAAGACAGAAATATCAGTAATTTCTACTTCAAAGATGTTTTTGAATCTCTGATCTATTTCCAATTTAATTTAAAAAGATTCCATAAAAATGATGACATTTCAGCCTCCTTTGAAGAGATTAGGGAATATGATCCTGAATAATTACAACGTGCTGAAATTGACTAGATTGCTACTGTTGTGCACTAGACAAAAATAATTCTATGCGTAGTTATTGAAATTCCTTAAAATAAACATTGCCAAGTAGTTAATTTAGAAACTATTCTAGATTCTACCACATTTTCTAACAGAATGGAAACTTATTTTAAAAGAAGAATAAATTATTCATTAGACTCACCATCAAAATCTAATTGTAATTAAGCCCAAATATGTCTAGCTGCTTATAAGCCAGGATAAGAGAGATTGTTTTTATTACATTTTGACTCAAGTAATTGCCAATGTGATGCTACAATGAAATCAATATGAATTGAATATGTATACTATATAAAGCAAACTACAAGACCTACACACACACACACACACAAAATTAAATTTTTCTGGAAAGTTTCAGTTTCTCAAGTGTACTGTTCTTCATTCACATTATAAATAAAAAATAAGGAATTATCTGGAAAATAAGGCAATCATTGATAGATTTATGGTCCAAAGGAAATGTTACAGTTGCTGAAAATTCATACTCACTGTGTTCTCTTGACTTAACGAATCAAGTTAGCACTTTGTGCATGGACAGAAATTATACACTTTTGGTTTTTATTTCCCCTCAATAAACCACCAAGTATTTAGGAAACTGGACCATTATCTAAAAATATATTTGTCTTAATCTGTAATATAAAGTAGTAATCTGAATAATAGCTTCAAATATATCCAACTCATATCATTTTCAATTCGCATAATTATTCATAACTATCTTGTCTTTGAAGGAATTGACAAAAGTTTTAAGCTTTGTAGCACTCATTCATCTCAGTCTCTTAAAATCAGTTTTGGTCTTAATTAATTTTACCTTATGTTTCATAATGTGTACTACCACAAGAGAGAGGAAGAAATATTTATTCTTGTTTAAACATTCAGCTACATGGCTTGTCTACCAACCAAGTCAAAAGATATTAAGAGTATTGATAAGAAATGTTCATGCTATTTCTTTTCAGGATTCATCTGGGTTTTTCATCAGTGATCATTTTTTTCACTAGAAAGACAAGAATAATATCCATTCTTATGACAGAATAATAAATGAAAAGTTACATTGCTCAAGAACAGGCAACACACATTTAACTTCCTTATCTCTGTCAGTTCACAGGGAGATGCTTTTATTTCAGCCATAACACTCTCCCCAATTAACAAAGACTACTTAAGACTACTTGTCTGTACATCTGTTTAAGTGTAATAAAAAGTACATTTGTGGTCTATATTGCAAAAAGCAGTAGTATGTATTAGAGATATTTAAAGATTATTAAGTGTTATGATTGCCTGGTTTAGCTGAGCAACAAAAAACTGAGTGCTATTTGCTTAGTTTAAAAAAAGAAACAAAAATATTCCAAAGTAAATTGTCTACTACTGCTACTGTTTCAAATTATCTCCTTGAAGATTTGTGCCAACTTTTTCCTTAATTGGATTCGAGCAAATTATTATTGGAATAGTTGTATATGGTACCATTTATGGCGAAAGCTATGGTACCATTTATGGCTTTCTTAATCTGCCTTCCCAGTGGTGGGATTCAATTTTTTTTACCAGAAGTTCTGTGGGTGTGGCTTGGTGGGCGTGGTATGGTTTGGTGGGTGTGGTGTGGTTTGGTTTGGTGGGTGTGTCTTGGTGGGCATGGCAGGGGAAAGGTACTGTAAAATCTCCATTCCCTCCCCATTCCTGGGGGAAGGTTACTGCAAAATCCCATTCCCTCCCCACCCCACTAACCTACTTTCCAGCTCCGTTCTTCTGTGCAGGACAACAAAAGAAACCCAGCCAATCAGCTGGGACTTAGGAAACAGAGAATAGATGGGGGCAGGACCAGGCAGAGGTGGTATTTGCCAGTTCTCCAAACTACTCAAAATTTCCACTACCAGTTCTCCAGAAAACAACCCTGAAATAAACTTGGTTGTTCAGTCACTGCATACATACTTGGTATGCAAAAGCTTTCATATTCAATCATTATTATTTACAGATTGAGCTGATAAAGGACCTAACCCATTTCTGAAATTCTGAAGAACTATTTCCTGTTTCAAAATGTACATGCTATGCACTATATTAAACTTACCGGCACAATTGCTCTGCCAACAGTTCCATCCTCATTTTGGTGTTTCCTTTGAGATGGAAGTTCTGAGTTTTCTCGATAATCTCGGCCCTTGATGTGCTGCATATCAAGTACCACCTGGCTTTTAGATGGAAGAGGTGGTTTATTCTGCACTACTTCAGACCTTGTTAATTTAATGGGATTCTTGAAAGTTGACAGAGAAGGATCTAAATTGGAACAAGGCTTCTGCTTGTTTTGAATCTTTTCCTTTACTGTACTGTTTTCCTCAGATTGATTAGAACAAGTATAAGAACGAAATCTGTGTGTGGGGACAATGAAAGGTGGGGAGGATTGTTGCTTGCAAGGTTTGTTGCCATCGGTCTCTTGTAGCTTGGTGAAAGGAAAGTTTTGATCAGGAATGGTTGGGAGTTCTTTTCGGGAGACCTTAAACAATTCCTGTTCTCTCTTAAATAGAAGCTTGTCCTTGGATTTTGTGAAATCATACAGAGGATTATCAATCATCTCTGGTTTTGAATATGCTTCATCTTGCAACAATGGTTCTACCATGCTTTTCCTCACCTCACTGTACCTGCCGAGGTTAGTAAATTAAGAGAAAAAGGAAGGTTATGTAACCATTATACAAAGTTTGGGAATGTTTTGAAAATGTTATATTAATTAATTAATTTTTCTATTATTGTTCTATATTGTTGGAAAGGGAATAGAGGCACATGGGTTTAGCAGTTCTATGTTCAGAAATAATTTGATTTGCCTTGAGTTTTAAATGGATTTGGCATGATTCCATCTTTGGCAGCACAGTGCCTGGAATTGGCCAAGGAAAGATTCAAAATGATGGTGAATGCATATGAAAATAAAATATTGATTAAGCAGAAATAAAGAAATACTGGAGTTCATAAAATAGCAGTGACTATAGTTGCCCTGTTATATAATCCTGTTGCCTAAAGTCTAGAAATAATATGATCTATAGAATGGTTTGCTAAAGGACAAATAAAATATGGGAAATCTAGGCCACCTCAGTGGTCTAAATTTAGACCAAAGTGATATAAAACTTACAGTTGATCTTTTCGATTAGTTGCAAAAGAAGCTCTTGGAGATCCAGGAGACAGAGTGGAAGGTGTAGTAGGAGATTCTAATCCCAATACTGGAGTATTATCTTTGGGCTGTGGATCGTAATTCCAAAGGGTAGGTTGTTGATCTGGTGAAGGGATCTGCTTAAACTGTGTTGTTGCAGTGAATGGTTGAGAGGCAGCAGCCATCCATAAGTAGCTGGCATTGTTGATCTCTGAGGGCACTGTGTTCCTGAGGAAAAAGTTAAGTGAGAGAAATGAATAACTATGATAGAATGCCTAGTTATTCTGGAGACATTTAGAGGAGTTAAGGCAAAGTCAATTTGTGCTTCTTTTTGCTAGGCTTAAAATATGTTTTACAGCCACTGCATAATTTCTCTAAGGTCATCTCTGTGGGTCTCAACATAAGCATTCTATAACAGGATTATTTGATTAAGTTCTCAGGCCCAGACACGGGACAGAAGAGCAATGGTCACAAAAGGAGATGACCATCAGAATCTGAACTGGATAATACACTCCAGAAACCTCTGACACTCATCTACTGTGGTATTGTTTTGGAGGCCCAGCTTTGCAATGATTCTGCTGTCTTTGGTGGTGCTTCCAGTCAGTGATCAAGCCCATGACTGCTCCAGTATAGGGGTCATTTGTCTCTCCCATACTTTTAACATCTATATAAAACCTTTGGGAGATATCTATATGAAACCTTTGTAATCCAGCAAGATGAAAATGATGTTTGCTCATAAACATCAAGGCTTTTCAAAATATCAGTTACTATAGGAGGAGCATATCTATGATTAGGTGACCCTCCTGCACTTGCAGCCCCTGCCTAGCTTTGGCTGGTATACAAGTTGCAGTCTTAATACCTGGAAATAGCAACTTTATCACATACCTCTCTTTGAAGACAATATGGAAGCTAGAATTGGCATACAAAGTAGAAGATAGGCTGCTAGTGGATAAAACCTGCTATTGCAAAATAATACTATTTTGTGGGTGCACTGATTACTAGTGGACCACCAGACTCAATTCAAAGTAGTGGTTATTGACTGTAAAGATATCGTACATAATGAAGTGGGGCTAAAATTACATTAGAAACTTCCCAACATGAGTCTGCACATCCTGGGCAGACAATAGGAAAAAATCTGCTTAGTGTGTTACCTCTGTAAAAGGGCTTTGAACCAGAAAATAGCCCCGCATTTGGCCTCTTTCATTTTTAGCATCCAGGAAGATGTCTTTATCTTCTGAAGGGATATTTAGAATTTAGCTGAGAATCATTGGGCAATATTTTAGCTATTGTTTTTTTATGGTTTTAATGGAATATTAAATGAGATAGATGGATAGGCAGATGGACAGGCAGATAGGCAGCCAGCTAAGCACTACCTATAATTGTTGGTGATGTTGTTGTTTTGATAATAAACATTATCCTTTCCTAAATGATGTCAGACCGAAACATCATTTGTACTTAAAGAAGGAGGTGGAGAAACAGCAGTTTCTAGTTAAAGAAGGAGTATTGTTCTAAGTGGAACATTCTTCTTGATTTAAACTACTTCAAATCTTATAAAAGTGAAAAATAATGAAGGGTCATTGTTATCAGCTTTCTTCAGTTTTTTTAAGCTTTATTGTGCTTCTCTGGCCAGTTGTATTATATTGTGCCCACATCAGGGGAGGGATTCAAATTTTTAACAACCGGTTCTGTGGGCGTGGCTTAGGTGGTGGGCATGGCTTGGTGGTCATGTGACTAGGTGGACATGGCTTGGTGGTCATGTTATTGGCTGGGTGTGGCCAATCAATATCACTCACATCGAGGCATGCATCTCCTTGCCTGGCCTCTCATGACTGTGGAGATGCTGCATCAGTCGTTAAGTGTGAAAAATGGTCATAAGTCACTTTTTTCAGTGCCATTGTAACTTTGAATGGTCACTCCACACAAGCAAAGTACCAGCAAAGGAGGGGAAAAAAAAACTCCAGAGACGTTCCTGAGACAGGAAGTCTAGTCCTGCCAAGAATATAATAAGGGTTAATGGAGAGGCAGTTTCTGTAGGCAACACCAGAATGTTTCCTTCCTTACAGGATTAGGCCAGTAATTTCTTTTAAAAACCGGATCTCCGAACTGCTTAGAATGTTAACTGGTTCTAGCGAATAGGTGTGAACTGGTAGAATCCCATCCCTGGCCCACATATTGTATAGTGTAGTATATTGTGTATATTGGGATATACATTAGGGATATTCACTTTTTCCTGGCCGAAAACCCGTACCTGCTATTTGTACTTGAAGACATTCTGGGGACTGTACTCCAAAATGTACTGGCTGAGGCAAAAACAAAATGACCTCATTTCATGTACAACTACTTTTAATTAACATTAAATAATGTAAATATTTCCAGCCCTGTTTTTCTCATTTCATTTTCTGTCCTACTGAAAGTTATCTCTAGAATGTATTGATAGTTATATATGAAGGTGCACCTGAGGTTTTTGGAAGCCACAAATGGTCTTCAGACTTCAAGTTCTATAGGTAGTCCTCCACTCACAACTATTCATTTAGTGACCATTTAAAGTTACAATGACAATGAAAAAAAGTGACTTATGACATAGGTAACAATCATTGCAGCTCCCCACAGTCATGTGATCAAAATTTGGCAGCTTGCATGTATGAGTGTTGCAGTGTCCCAGGTCCTGTGATCACCTTTTGCAATCTTCTGACAAGCAAAGTCAATGGGGAAGCCTGATTCCCTTAACAAACTTGTTATTAACTTAACAGCAGTGATCTACTTAACAACTGGGGCAAGAAAGGTTGTAAAAAGGGGCAAAACTCACTTAACTGTTTTGCTTAGCAATGGAAATTTTGGGGTTCAATTGTGGTCCTAAATCAAAGACTACTTGTATACAATTTCTTCACTTGAAGAGCAAAATAAATTCATACTAAATTTGATTGCTGACAGTTCAGTCACAAAGTGGATCAGATGAAAATTAGGAGCAAGATTATGCCTTATTCAAATATTATACTATCTGTTCAATTAATTTTCTTCCATTTTAAAATAACCATTTATTTTTATACTCTGTAGTTTTTTTTAATGGAATAAGAACTGATATACGTGCTTTCAGATGGGTCCTGTATTGTATAATTGTCCTGCCTAACTCATAGAATTATTCCAAGAATCCAGATTACAATATCTTCTATTTTTAATCATCCTGTATTTTCCCACTTTTTTCCCAATGTTTTTCTTACTATAAAAAAAATCTATTCAGGAGGCAAATGTTTTTGATTGGTAATGATAGAAGCCATTTGAAAGCAAATTGGATAACTACTGACCTTCCTGTTAAAACTAACACATATTGAATATGTAAAATGTTATAGTGCCAGCTAATTAAGGCCAGGCCAACTGTAAATTCTAAAACTGAAGTCACCAAAAGAAAAAATAAAGTCAATAATCAAAAATCAAGTCTTACTATAAGTGTTCACAAGTAGTTCAATACAGCTTTCAAGTTTATTTCTTAAAAATACTATTCTGTCTTCAATAGTGAAGCAAAACCCCTCATTTTTTCCACAGTCCTCAGGTTATTGGTCATACAGCAAATACTTCCAACCTATCAAGGAAAACATTTCCTTGCATTTTTGCTTGAAGAAGTAAGAGAAGCATCTTTTAGAACATGTTATTGTGCATTATAGGATTATACCTGGAAAGAGGAGAACTAAGCCTTCCTTCCTTTGAGGTATTATGCCTCAAACAGAAATTTCATGATTAAGATAACAAAAATGAAGAATCCAATCATGTGAGAAGAAGTATAAATTTACCATGAGACTTTCTCAAAGGTGAAGTTCTGTACTTACCGCCCAATATCATCTCTGCAAGTGTCTTCAAGAGTTACTGCAGTTCCACGAAACCGAGCAATGGCGGCTGCTTCTTTGGCTACCAGATGAGTGGATCTCCTGTTAGAAATAGTAACCCTTTCAGGGAAAATACAGGTTAGAGAATTTTGAAATTTTCTGAAGGAGAATATTTTCATATCACAGTTTTTAAACATCAGTGAACAATTAAACAATTAGTAGTCTTACAACCTTCACATCTTACAAGAATGGGCTCAAGTACAGTATATCTAAATATATGTTCAGTCTTTATTTATTAGTATAGTCATATTAATATCTTGCATTTCCTCTAGGAACTCAAGGCAAAATTACCCATTGAACTTCCTAGATGGGAGTGAATCTGAACATGGATCCAGCATTTTGCAACATTTTAACCCATTCAAATACTATTCTTGAAAACTGGATTGAGTGGCACTAGATAAACATAGAAAAAGATTTAAAAGGAGAAGGAGAATGGGATGCTGTTTGGAAATTTAAAAAACTACTTTCATTTAAAATGAAAGAGAATTCTGTTCAAACTCATAGCTAAATGCTATGACTATATTTTCAAGGCAATCAACCCCATATGTTTGAGATATTCTGACAAATTCTATCATTTCTGGTGAGAATGTAAAGTAAATAGATGGCTATGGTATTATGTCTTTAAGAAATACATCATGATTACAGAACAAAAATTATGTTCAATCTTATAATTACTGTTAAATGAGGTGAGAATGAAAACATATTATGTAAAGAAATACTACTATTCTTGTTGACAGCTGAGAGACAAACAACTGCTAAAACCTGGGAAGATGAACATTGAATTGAGGTCAGAGAGATATGGGGTATATCAGTTACAAAAACTCTGTGATTAAAGATGATTCATGTTATGGGATCAATATGAAAAAAACAGTGTTGTACTATCTATATCAACAATCAAAATGATCCTAGATTATTGGTATGCCATGGATAACATTAAAACATACTAAAATATTATATTGGGTATAATATTTTTCCAAATATTAGTATCTCACTCTTTCTACAGTCATAACCTTGAGTTTTCTTAGAAAAAATATTTGACATATTTCATTATATTTTTATTATCTGCCATGTCCAATTCTTTACTTCCCTATATTGCACTATGTCTATATCGCATTACACACTACATCTATAGTATAATATAGGAAAGTAAAGAACTAGGAAAGTTGGTTCCATGGATTCTTACCTGGCAGATAATAAAAATATAATAAAGAATGTCAAATATATTTTGAATAATATTAGACTATAGTGCAGTCTGTAATGCAACTGCATTCTATAGTGCAATACAGTTGTAGTGTATCAGTCATGTTTGCAGATAGACAATTAGTTGTCTTCAACCTACTTGTTGATTTGTTCCCATTCTTTGGCATGGTCTGTACAGCTCAAGCCTCTGATTGACTTTTGTCCAGCAGTTTCATCTCGTTCAATTTTCACAAAATCTGAAGGCAAATAGATCCAAATGAAATATTGTGCTTCTTTATACCTTTATAGTGCTATAATCGTCACTAAATAACTTAAAGTATTCATGAAGTATATATTTAACTTAAGGTCCAAATAACTATTGTGGCTGACCTGTACAGTGAAAATAAGAAAAGTACATCTGGGATACTATCAGTCAAATAAAACTACTACTACACTCTGAGAAGGCCCATCTTCTGCCTGAGAAAGTGGTAAGCAAGAAAGTGATTTGAAATCAGATGCCAATCACTGCCAACTGTGTAACTTCTTGTTCACCTCAGACAGAACATGAGTAGCTCATAGGCCATTCCATATCTGGGTAAGCAATACACACAGTTCGGAAAAAGAGTAAGTAATGAGCAAATGAAATTAAAAGAGGAGATAAAAAAATAAATGGAAATCTAACTAACTTTAGTTTATATCCATTCCAATCACTATGCTTTCTATATTTTTTCTATCTTTGCAAACCATACTTGCTTCTACCACATCTGCATACCAATTCATGTATTGCATTTTTGTTCTTTAAACTTTCACCTCTTTTTTTGAGGATCTCATCAACTCCATTCAAGGTCTTTCTTGATACATTTACTTTTCTTTCACGATACTTGTTTCATTCTTCTTATATGGCAAAACACCTCAGTTCTTTCATATTGGCTATTTCACTTTTGTATTCAATCCACATTCATTCATCATCTGTTCATATTTTTTATTTCATCTTGTTTTACTACACACATATTCAACTGATATATTTTGACTGCATTCAATATACCTGTATGTTTCTTTGTAAAATACCCATCATCTATGTCACAATGTTGGAAGAAACATGTTTTTTTTTTTTACGACCCTATAATCTATTAATGTGGGATAGACTTGGGGTGACTGAATGTAATTGAATGTTTATTGGTTGAATGTTCTTCCTGAGGCCTACATGGAGTTTGAAGCAGATCTTTTCTCTTTGTGTCCTGAGAGAGAAATATCTGCTGCTACCTAGGATTGAATTCTCAACCTTCTGAGTGGGAGACAAGGGTCTTCACCACTAGGTCCCCACACCACTCACAAAGGAAGATGCTCTTATACACAGCCATTTTCACTTCTTTCATTGCAAGATACTATCTACTGCCACTAGCTTTCCGCCACTGTTCACATGTTTTAAAAAATTTCTACTTTAGCATCTAAATTTTTTGTAAACATTTTACTAAGCTGCACAAATTCATCTAGTTCCTCTCTCTTTTTGCCCTATAAGTGCAACTTGATGTCATGCACTGTGTGTTCTCTATTAATTGCAATTACTTTAACCTTTGATTCATTCAGATACTTATTCCTATTAGAATACAAACATTCAATACAAATCAATCATTAAGGATTTCAGTTAACAACATAGTATAATTTGCATTAAAAGTATGATATTTTCTCATCTTTAACCAGTACTATATATCTTTAACCCCTCACCACAAGCAAGCATGGCTTGTGTATTTATCCAGAATCCACTGAACAATCATGGAGATATTATAGAAGTTCTCTTCCTTCCTGCTCAGTGTTGACTTGTTTACTGTCCATTCTATTTATTTTTATACATATATTATTTCCATCATATATTGCTGTTTCCATACCTAAACTTCAACTATATATCCATATAAAGTATTCTATAATTCAAACTTTATTTAACATTTTTCTATGTATTCAAATTGTTTTCTGTCCATTGTGACACAATTAAAACATATTACATATCTATATTACAGATAGCTAGGCAAAGGGCTTCCTTTCTCTCATTGGTTTCGAAGCAGGAAAGGAAGGCTAAAACTAGATTATGTACATTTCTATGTGTCCAAGGTCACTGTTTTGATAATGAGAAATGTTTTTATTGCTAAAAATGCTTATTTTAATGACATGTTTAATGACATGATCATTCTAATTCTTTCCTTTTCCATATTTGCTATTTATCAGTCTTTATGGAATGAGTATACAACTCTGATATCACCACTATGACAAGCTTCATCCATACCCTAAGCTCTACACAGATTATTTCTAAGAATTTCCTGCTGGGGAAACAAGCCCTTTTATTGGAATAAATGTTGGGATAGCTGATGAAATTAATATCCATGAACGATTTAAAACTACTGGATTAGGCCCAGGTTGAACTTGTGTATACACAAGTTGACCTACTGACATATTCCTGATGTCATGGCCACACTTTAAAAAGTTTGTTTTTTATGGAGTTTAAAATGACTAACACATTTTTTTCCCCCTCCACCAGCTTGCTAGACGTCTTTTCCTTGACCCATATTACATGATCACAATCTTTCACAAACATTCATGGGTCTTGCCCCATAAATTGCAGGTGACAGCTTAGTTTTCTGGTGTAGCCAAGTTCATGTCTTGAACTAGGCAGATGTGTTAAACAAGCCCAGGTCGGTTGCCCAGCACCATAGAGGGAGTCTGGAATGGAACAATACTAGTTTATGAAACAATTCTTATAACTTTCTCTTTCACATAATAATTTTTGGCTGGGTTTAGCTACTAGAAAAACAAAAACAGTTCTTACAGACTTAATTGCCTTTCTTGGATTGGAGTACTGGCTTACCATATAATTTTTCTCTCTGTTTCCCTTGGGATGTCTGTAGCTTGAATTGACCTTGGAAGATCCCTGTCTTTTCTCCATGGTGTGTTAGTACAGTTTGAATAGGGACTTGAGATTCTGCAGCTCCACTTCGAAGGGCAATGCAGCCTTCACCTAGAGAACAGTAAGGGACTTGATTTCTATCAGATAACAAGGGGCAATTGTTTTTTTGTTTTTGATCACACATAACTAATCAGGAATATATCTGCAATCATATACATTCTTCCTTAAGGCTTGAAAAGTAGACTTGCATAGAATTACACTGAATGCAAAACAATGTGCAAAGCACATAGAAGCATATGGAGTAATGATGGTTGTGATTAATTCCCAGAGGTATTTTGCTGACCAATGTTAGAAGATAGATAGATACTGGGACTAAATTTTGGTCAGAAGTAGAGAGACTCCATATTGCTCCCTAAATTGCTTATCTTACCTACTGTTCTTGCCTGATATTAAAGACATGTTCAGAAACTGTAGTCTAGATAGCAATAGGTTAGCAATGGGCTAGGTTGATAACAGAAGTGAAAAGAAGGACTAGGGGTATTCCAGTATTTGAGGGGCTACCACAAATAACCTCAATTTATTTTCCAAAGAACCAGAAGACAAGACAAGAAACAATAAATGGAAACTAATCAAGGGAATCAGTGGATTAGCTTGCCTTCAGCAAGTTGTAGGTGCTTCATCAGTTGAGGTTTTTAAGAAGATACTGGACCTGTCTGAAATCATATGGAATATTAACATACGCTTGTTTAAATCTTACCATAGGATTCATCACTGTCTGAAGATTTAATACAAATCAAAATGTGTTGGTCCAGCAGATATTCGGGGTCTGAAATAATTGGAGTTAGCTGCAAAGAAAATTCAAGAATTCAGTAAAACTAGAGGAAGAAATATATTTATGAAATATAATACTATTAAACAGTATGGTATCTATTTCTATGAATGTCTACACTTAAGTTGCTCTCTTACATGCATTCTACATAAATTGAGGTAAATTCTGGATTACCAAGGTATTTTTTTTTCCTGGTCAAATATTTACCTTTGCTCTTGATGTTTTGTCTTATTTTATGTTAGTGCATCATAAATTATACTGGCAGAAGGACATATATACTTGACAACTAATCTTGGATCCTATACCTGCAGGGATATATTTCTCCAAATTTAGTCAGTTGCATTTACTTTATACAGTTCACCTAAAATAAAAGAACTACTGAATTCTGGGAATTTAAAAGTATAGTGTGTTGAGTTAGTTCAATGTCACAGCTAAAAGAGCCTGAGATGATGGGTGTCCATCATTTATAACTCCTTGTTGAACTGAAGGAGAAGAAACTCCTCAGGCTTCTTCCAAATTTTAATGTTGGAATCTGGAATGTAACACAAAGGAAGTTAACTAGACTTCTTAGATTTGCTTGGCAGTGCTTAACTGGAAATCCTCTTGAAGACACCAGCTTGAATTTCATTTCAACATGTTCTTTTAAGCAAGTTATTCACCCATGTGTTCATTTAATCTGAGGATTTGAAGCAAGACTCCAAAAAAGCTTTATGTACCCTTATTTTACTTCTTCCCAAACTAATGTCCAGATACAGTCTCAAGCGATAGCAATTCTGATCTAAAGTATTTAAAGAGGTTCAAACTGGCAAATCTGAAACATTGAATTGTGATTGGTCTAAGTGTTATAATAGTCATCCATCATGATGGTAGGACATTAGCATGTGACCAAAGACAGAATGGAATGGTTAAAATGATGCCCCACTATCACTAAAAGGACATTAACTATGATATATTGCACAAAAAGTCATGAAAAGAGCATCATGCTGAACCCAGCTCTCTTTCCCAGTTTAAATTCATTTTCTGTGTAGCTGGTAAGCCTATGCTGAAAAAATGAAGTGTTCTTCAAAGAAGTACCATTTGACAATCATTATGAAAAATCCTGTTCAAGTACTGAAGGGCAGATGCCTCTGCAGTACCCAAGCATCTGGCCTCATCTTCAGTCCAAGCCAAAATGACTCTGGAGAGTAATATACAGTAGTTACATCACCTAACATTGCCAATGAGAACTGAACAGATTTCAGTCCCTATCTACACCAGCGATTATTTGATCAGTGAATCATGCAGATTGTATTCATGGCAAAAATTGTGTCATTTTGGTGTCAGGATAAGAAGGAAAACTTGTCAGAAAAGCCAGAATGACTTTAAGATGGGCTGGGAATGGGACAGAGGTGTAGAGCATACCAGAAATCATTTTTAAAGTAACTGACAAAATCTATCAACTGACCTTAGGAAGGGCTTCGACAAATTTTACCACCAGTTCCCCTTCGTTTCCTTCCTCATTTTCTCCCTCTTGGCTCTTTACAAAGCCTGTAAAAGTATTAGAAAAGAAAATTAGTTGCCAGCTGAAAAAGCACAAGCAATACCACAGACATTTGCAAAACTTTAAAAAAAACCACACATAACAAACAAAATTTGGCAGCAAAGGGAAACTGATAATTATTCCTATTTCTGGAAAGAATGGAAAAAACTTGTAACTTTCAGCTTATAATCCTAGATGAGTGTTTACAAAGTGCATTTGCACATGAACTTATTGATTTTCTTAATATTTTATTCCGGTTAAAAAATCATTAGGAAGCTCTGAACTTGCATGGATGAGAAGAGAGGGAAAATATGACAGGTCTTCCTACGCCACTCAAGATAGCACAGTTGAAATTCTAATTTAAGATCCTTAACACATGGTTTCCATAGAAATATATGCAAATCTCTGTACAGCCTTTTTTTGTGTGGAACGTGGTTAACAGAACTATATGACATATAAATAATAGAAACGGGATAACATCCCCCATCCCCTAATGCAGTTTGGCCCTTTGACAAAGCGCAACATAAATAACCTATACTGGATATATATTGTTTCATATACAAAGAGCTCAGAATTAGGAATCCAGAAATATAACCTTAAGCACAACTGTATATTTATGTTTACAAAATCATTGCAGAGCAATAATTTGATCTTGTGTGTACATCTTAATTCTTCATCTTGCAAGGTCACAATTACTGTTAGGCTGCAAATTTATGATAGCATTAAGCTTCTGCCATTTAATTTGGATTTCAAAGGCATAAAAGATACTTATAAACAATGATTTTTGTGAGTAAATATATGTGATATTATTTATAAACAATTATCAAATAGTAACCATTTAAAATGAATGTTTTTTTCCTAAAAACTCAGGCCAAAACACATGACTTCTTATGTGTAACTCTCACAACAGGTCTGCAGATGTTCCAGGGCATGTTAAAAACTGGAAACTGGTGAACACAAAGGTTTGGTCAACGTATGAATAGGAAAGGGCTTTTAGAAGGTTCACCTAATATGGAAGAAAAGTAGGCTAAAATAGGTCACAAATACACTCAAAAGCCAGGGATCTGTGACTAGGGTCAACTTTTTGCATTTATATAATATGTAGCTAAGGTTTGTACCTTGCCCTGGGAAAAGTTCCACATGAATCATAATTTATTTCTAATAGAAACTGTATAAGGTCTTTCTCTCTCTCTCTCTCTCTCTCTCTCTCTCTCTCTCTCTCTCTCTCTCTGTATGCTTGTACATCACATGTTCAGATGTTTATATTAAATCTTTATAATATCCTTTTGGAGTAAAGTACTTAAGCATTTGGGTCTAAAAGTGCTTGTAAAAAAATAAAAGTATTCTTATAGAATTTTATGTTAAAACAAATAAGAATATATTGTCTAAAAACAATAATAAAGACCAGAGATTCTGCAACAAAGATTCTTGGCTTTAAAATGATAATATAAACAAGATACACTGAGAAGCTTTTATATAGCTTATTATTTCATACTTAATATAAATATTCGGTAAAACAGTGAATGGGATATCGTCTAGAACAGCCTTATTTCTCCCATTAATCTCTCCAATGCAATTTATAAATAACATAACAACAACATGAGAAACATCACTTACTTTCTAGGCAGCTGGAGTAAAATTCAATGTAGAATTTAGTCTGTGACTTTGTCTTGAGGACAGCACTGCAATGGAGAAATTCAATCTGTCCCAGAGAGCCTGTGTACTTATCATCTGGGGAAAAGAGGGCATATGTTAAAGATGGAATAACAGCATTCTGTGAAATTGTTAAAGATATAAAAACAATGGTGTAAAGATTTGCATTTTTACTTAGAAAGGAAAAAAATGCTCACCATTCTTAGAAACAAACTGAGATGTGACAGCAACTTCAAATGTAGCAAAAACAGGACTATGATCACTTGTCATAATGTCAGTTGTGCATCCTATGATAGGAAAGACAGTTAAGGGTCTGTATTTTTAACTTTCTAAGGGAGGAAAGAATATGATAATTACTTGGCCTAACTGATCCTTAACAGAACAAGGCTTCTATATTCAAGTGGAAGAAAGAGGAAAGAACTCAATAACCAGCACACAACTCTCATGACATATCCCCCAGCAACTGGGACTAGGTTACCTGAAAAATAATAATATGAATCCTCCCATGTATTGTCCTTCCTAGGATTCTCCCACTTGCTGAAAAGAATCAAAGGTACAGCATATGTTCTTTGACATTTTCTTCCTAGAGTTGTCTTTTTTCTTTCAGTACTAGACTTAAATTAATTTGTCATCTTTGTACTACTTTTTAAATTTTATGTTAGCATTTCATGTTACAGTTCTGCTGTTTTAATTGCGATTTTGTGTGTGTGTGTGTGTGTGGTTAATAGCAGATGAGGAATAATGTATAAACTTTCTAATTTCAGATCTGACCAGGAACCAAAATTCCCAAAGAAACAATTACACACACACACACACACACACACACACACTTAACTGTGATTCAAATATAATTTCATTTGGACATTAGACATCAGCTACTTCATAATTTTAACTGAGGAAAATAGAATATCCTAGAAATAATTGCTGCAACTGAAAACCTTTTCTGACTTAGTTTCAGTGGGGGAAGGAAGTATGCAAGTGTATTTCTCTCACAATTATTCACAGCCCATTCTGTTTCCCCCACATATCTTAGTTTAAGGAGAAAGCATTTATCAAAGATAGGATGTCTCTTGTTGAGAACTTGGCAATGAAAAGCAATTCTACAGATTCTGCTCTGAATCATTTCCGCTTAAGCCAGCTTTGCTGCTATTTTCAATCTGTTATCTACCCACCATAAGACTGGCACACCACATGCACCAAGGGATATGATTTCCAGAGTACTCGATCACACCAGGATGGCAAATTGTACTTCATCTGCAAACAAAAGACAACTCAAAATCAAGAACTTATCACTCTGTCTGTCAGGCGGTTGCCAAAAAGCCATTTATTTTATTTTTTTTCACTGCAATGTCTGTCGAAAGAGAAAATGGTGCTGGCAACAATTATCAATTGAAATGCTACAATGTGCTAGAAGTTATGGCATACCCCTGTGGCTTTCTGCTTGGTGTAGACATAATTCTCCCGGGTATTTCTTTCAAAGCGATAGGTTGGGGCAAATGTTATTTCTTCCTCCTCTGAAACAGACAGATGGCTGATTATTGTTTTAATTCAGTATCAAAAATCACTACAGCAACCTCATGCAAATCATTCTAATCGTCTCCTATAGCAGTTTTTAGCACATGTTTAGTTATTTGTGTGCAGTTTCTCACCACATGGAACAATTTTCTTTATGCCATTACATAAAGAGGAGAGAGAATGAGAGAGATAGAAATGTTGGGTTCATATATCACATAAAGCATGATCTGGTTTACATTTCTGCAATGATTCATCTAACTTGGTTCAGAAGGGAAACTGGCTTTATATTAATCTTAAATCAGTCTGTGGAAGGTTACAGGATGTGGTAAGTTACATTACAGGATGGTATTTTTATATCAAGTAATTACTTTGACAACAATGGATCAATTAGTCCTTCAATTTTCTCTCTCTTATCAACTAATTTTTCAGGATATTTGACTGTAGGCTTAGTGAACCAAGTAACAATCTTACCTAACTGCAGAAACACCTTCTGATCTTTCTTTTCAATGAGGAGCTGGTCAAAATTAAGCAGTTCTGTATAATGCTGCTGTTTGATTTTTTGAATGATATTTTCTGCTTCCTGAGAAGAGGGAAAGTGTTATAATTAATGATAAAGCCATATTTATTACATGTTTAGTTTAATAAATGCTCAATTATATATAATTAATCTAAGTACAAAAATGTGTTCAGAGTCAAACAAAATTTTATACAAGATTAACTCTTAACGCTTGAATTCTGAAAATGTTTGAGTGCTATTTAATATCATGAGGAAATGTTGCCTTTATTTCTTTCCTCTGAAGGCACTAAACCAATTTAATGCTAAGAAGACATTAGAACAGAATGAAGAGAAAGTTTTTTAAACAAAACAAAACAAAACTGTTTCAAAGCATTGCGTCTGTGATTTCTACTGAAGTCCTCTGGATCTGCTTATAGCTAAAACCTGAACATATAATTTATAGGACAGAATCCACACCATTGCTAAATCAGAATAAACTCTACTATAACATCTGGGAAGGTTTGGTGCTCAGAAATTCTGTATGATTTAGGGGCAGGGATGGCTATGGCATTAATGGAAACAACAACACAATACAAATTCTTTTTGACATGGATGGTGTAAGCAGCTCAACAAATCAACATTTTTCAGTGACTTTCCTTCTGAGCAATCTGTCCTGTTTATATTAACTGCTCAAAATCCCAACAAAGGAGGATGGATTGAAACTTTTTTTTTGTCTATGGAACAAATCAGTTGCACAGTTGTGGGTGAAGTCAACATTTGTGCTCTTATGTTTTCAACTCACCTTGGGTGAGGGGTGATTAAAGGCCCTCTTTTTTCATTCATTCTATCTATTTATGTAATTTCTATCATCTTTATTCTTTTTGCTTTTGTTGTTTCCTTGTTTCTAAATGTTTTAAATAAATTATAAACCAGCCAAGTAACTAGGAATCAGGCAACATGCACAATTTAATATTAATAATAATGATAACAACAGCAGCAGCAGCAACTTGGGCATACTGAATTGATAGGATAGTCCATGTATGTGTATATACAGTATATCCTTTGAAGTGAATGCCCTGTAAGAAGGTAGTGTACACTTCTTCATTGAATATGCCCAAACAGAGGCTGGATAACATCTGGGTTCATGTACTAAGGAACTTTTTGCTGTTTTTACACTTGAAAATGTAGAACATGAAATCACAAGGCCTCATAATTTATATATATATTCCTTTCTTTTTACACTTTTCATTCTTTTTCTTTATCTTTTTCAAACATTTTTAATATTGTGTATTTTATCACTTTTTAAACTTCAATAGTCATTTTTTTTAAATAAAAGAGACTGCCAATTAATATAGTGCAAATTTAACTTCTGCTGAAAACCAAAACAGATGTACCCTAACTACTATGCAGAGATGTTTTTATTTAGCACAAAAAGTTTTTATGGGAAAAACAAGATACTGTAGGAATAACTTAGTGACAATGTTTGCAACTACAAGTGTACATTTCCATATGATTCGTAAGAGTACATATGCGAGCAAGGAAAGTTCTGGTTTAAATCTTATTTCGGCTATGAACTTTCTTAGTCTCAGATTTTTATTTGCAATATCTGAGAAGTTAATAGAAGCTTAATTTGCAGATCAGCTATATAGTAAGGATTACCAAAAAAATGCAAGTGATAAAACTATAAATATTCTGAACACTTTAAAATAACTTCACATAATGCTAAGTGTAATCAATTAGCAGGGAATTAAAATGGTCATCTAACCGTTGGGGATAACTCTAAGCGGTAGTTCAGATCTCCCATCCAGAAGAAATGAGTAAAACGATGAGTGATGTCAAATGGACTCAAATTCTTGTCTCCCACAGACATAAAGCGAAGAATACTCATGTAATTCTGATTTCGCCTTGTAAAATAAGAAAAGCATGCTCAATATACATTAAATTGCATAGATCCTGATCAGTATAGACAGTTAACTCAAACAGTGTTAAATTAGATAATCTCATTTTAAAATACAGTATATACTCAAATTATACCAAGGCAACATACAAATAGATTATTATTTTTATTCAGCCGTTTCCCCTAAACTGACTCTCCGTATATGTATAATTGTATGGTAGGATTGTTATCCAACCCATCTGGACAGCATCATGTATAGGGAAGCCTGCTAAGGAAAAAGCTGCTTTTAACCGAGTTATCTTTTAGCATTTCTGTGACAACTGATCTCAGCACTATTTAATGTACAATTTTTGATAGAAGAAGCAGCCACCTTTCTGCAAAAAAAAAAAAAGGTGCTAATTTGCTAGCTTTTAATAACCACCACTTTCCCTACAAATCACAATGCAGATCAATAGACTAGTGAGATGTACTACAGTTAAATGAGTCATGGAACTTATTTTCACATCCATCTATCTGGCACAAAGACACCCAGTTATGTCCTCATGAAGCAGTCATCTCCAAATCACCACAGGCAGCTTAAATTCATCATTAGTTGTTCCAGCTGTCTTCTAAAGTAATCTAAACACCATTGTGCTGACATAACTGTGTATGTTATCATTTCCACAATTCAATAAACACCTGAAATACTCTATCTTTACACAATGTAGTGAAATTACTGTGTTGTTGCTAATTTTCCTTTCTTCCTATGGGTATAATGTGAAAGAAATCCCTTGCAACTCAGCTTAATTAGAAACTAGGGTCTCCCAAATGATCACCTTTTCCATCTCCTACCCCTTCTTAATCCAGTTAAAGGCTAATCCAGATAGTTTTTCAAATGCTATGAACATGCATATTCATCTGCTGGAGAGAAAGCGGGCAAATTATGAAATGTGTATCACAATATCATCATGCAAATGCCACATCTTATGTATTTGAACCAGATGCCAGGATGCAAGTACATAAAGGTGGTACCGGTTTAATTTCACCACGTTATATTGATATCCTTGTGGATTACTGTGGAAGTCACTGTAAACACAGAGATATCTGGATGTTTGGGAGCACAGAACTCAGGGAGCTGAATGCCCAGTCTGTGCTTACAGTTTTAGCCAATCACTGGTTGCTTGATATACAGGTAGTCCTTGACAAGTCCATTGACTTTGCTTGTCAGAAGGTCGCAAAAGGTGATCACATGTTCCCAGGACACTGCAACCATCATAAATATGAGGCAGTTGCCAAGCATCCGGATTTTGATCACGTGACCACAGGGATGCTGCAAGAGTTGTAAGTGTGAATAAAGGTCATAAGTTACTTTTTTCAGTGCTTTTGTAACTTTGAATGGTCACTAAACGAGCTGTTGTATGTGGAGAACTAATTTCAAGCTCTCCAATAACTGAATTCTTCTTTTGCCCCCCCCATCCCCATTCTTTCGGATCTGTTCCAGTACAAACGCACATGCATCATAGACAAATACGCAAGATATTAAATTGCTAGCATTTCCCATCTCCAATTTTCCACATATTTGTGAAAAATTGATCACTGTTTTGCAATAAAACAATACATTCTCAAAAACAATTTGACAAAAAATTGGTTTTAAGAAATGCATTGAGAACTGTCAGAACCATGATTTCAAATGGAGGAAGAGCAAATAATGTATGGTAAAATGGGCAAAAATGATGGTTATAATACTGAAATGAATCAATGGGAGACAAAATGCTTAAAAGACAATAATTCACATTGTCTTACAGTTTAAAAGAAAACTTTTTTTGAATGGTGTACCATTGATATAGGATACCAGAGAAAATGTTCAAGGTACTATTAATCACTGTTGGCGATGTGAAAAACGTGAAGGGACTTTTTATCATATATGCAGACTTGTGAAAAAGCAAACAGATACTGGACACAAATACATATGATGATGTACAGAGTTTTAAAAATTAACATTCAAATGGAACTGGAACTTTTCTTATTAAGACTGATGGACAATATGTTTATAACTATTGCAGAGAGTGGAAGTCAATACCTTTCTTTTTCTTCCTTTTGTAATCTTTTTCTTTTTTCTATTTTTTTCCTTCTATGTTTCTGTGGTTTTTTTAAGTTTGTAAATATTTTTTTTACGAGAACGAAAGAAAACACTCTGATCCATTTGTCAATATAATGTGATTACAGGAGGTTTATCCTGCTCAACTACCACAATGGCTCTTTTGTCTAAAGACCTTTGCATCTGAACACAAATGTATCCATTTGTCAACTATTCTTCTACACTTCCAAATATCTAAGTAGTTTAATCAGTAAAATTTTGGAATAAAAATTCTGACTGTTGATCATTCTTTGTGTGAATAAATAATAAAACCTGCTTGTTATACACATCATATTACTTCATTCCCTGTGAAAAGCCAGTTATTTTTGGTCAACAGAGTAGCTATGCTGAAACAAGTTCAAGGACAAATTTCGTTTCTTCCTTTTAATACAGAAATCAGTGCAGGCCATCCTTTAATCAATGAACATGCGAGGTGGACAGAAGGAAAGACCTGTAGTTTGTGTTGCCATGGGAATGTGGACGTGTGAAAGGAAGCTGAAAGGAGGCATAGAAAGGAGGGAACTTATGGTGATTTAACACAGCTTATCTGCTTTCCTGTATATAGGCACATGATCTGGATTTCTAGATTTAATTCCAATTTCACAGAGCTGAAGAGTTATAGACGTAACATACAAATCAAAATTATTAAGACAAATAATAGTCCTGGAAGAGAAATGTTCCCTATTGACCTTTAGCAAAAGGAAACACAAACAAAACAATCACCACTTAATCATTTAGTATTTTCTTTGATGAAGAGACTTTATAATTTTAATGATATACATTCTTTCTCTGTATGTGCGCCTGAGAATGGTATATTGCTTAGTAACTTTGTACATCTTTGTTTTGATTATGGCTTTTGAAAAGTTACTGAATTCAGCAAAGTTAAGAAAAAGAAGTATATTTTTTATAGTTTTATTTATTTTTATTTATTTATTTGTCAAATATGTACTTAGATAACAGATATAAGAATGAACATGATTATTAATACAAGAAATGGATATGAATAAAAAGAGTCAATTAGGACAGGGACGGTAGGTACATTAGTGCGCTTATACACGCCTCTTACATTATCCTTATCATGTACATGTTTTTGTATTGTTTTATTCTTTTTAACATTGTAAACTGCCCAGAATCACCTCATGGTGACAAACAAATTTAATAGCAACAGGACTTAGACTTATATACCACTTCACATTGCTTTACAGCCCTCTCTAAGTGGTTTACAAAGTCAGCATATTGCCTCCAATAATCTGGGTTCTCATTTTATTGATCTTGGGAGGATGGAAGGCTGAGACAACCGTGAGCCACTCAGGCTTGAATCCTGGATTGAGCAGTGAGTTAGCCTGCAATGCTGCATTCTAACCACTGTACCATCATGGTTCTTACATAATAAATCATAAATCATAAATATATCTTTGGATAAGAAAAAGAAACAATGCCTTCTGTATGTTCCATATTTAAAGGTGGCTTTTTGAATCTATATAAGTAGCACATGTTTAATTTTGTATTAAAAACATATATTTGACTCTTTAAGAAAAAGGAAAAAAAAGGGGGAAGAACAATTACACAGTGCTCCAGTCCTGATGAAAACACCACAGTGCATGGAAATGATTTTTCCTCTCTATTTGTTTGTGTCTTTGTGTATTTTTACTGTTTTTGGAAAAAGTTGCTGAAAATTGTTATTTCCCTCCAAAATCCAAAGGTGCTATTTGAATAAAATTCTGTTCTGAGAAGAAAATAGCAGCATGGGGTTATAATGTAATGCAGCATCTTCCACAGTCTGCCCCAGATATGTTTCTTTACAAATGCCAGACTTTGGTCAGCACAGCCAGTCTAAGCCAACACATGTGTCCAAATCAAGAAAACTGACATAATGACATGCTTTCATGTAACATGGTTCCAGATTATGTTGCACATTAACATTGGCTCATTATTGAGGCAGAATAGAGATTGGTGGTAATAAGGGCAAGGCAATTTATGCAGCATACTGTCTACCAATTCACGTATTGGATTATACCTTAAAATAGTGATCTGTCTGTATGCTTAGTAAGTATATTAAACATGTTCAGTCTCACAATGGCAGGGAATAAATGTATCTCAGGTTTACATATTGGATTGTAGGAGTTTTCTGGACATAGTTTTCATTCATTTGCAGACTTTTTTAAAAATCCCCCTGAGGTAACATCTTCAGTGCTGTGACCTTGGAGAAATAAGTTTTGCATAGCTGTGGAATATATAGTTGCCTATCCTATGAACCTTGTATGTGATGGGTGAAGTATGTGCCAGTCACATAGCAATAATGTCTAACAGCACAGCTGAGATTCCTCTAATAACCCAACATGCTCAGATATCATCACCTAGTTTTGAGATATTCCTTAGATGGCATTTTCCTCCTAAAGACATTTTAATAAATCTGCAACCTTGGAATCTCCCTGAGTTTCCTAATGCAAAGATCATGCTATTTTATTCATCATGCTTCTATACTGCCCATGTTAATCAATCAATCAATCAATCAGAATAGAGCATCTAAATGACTCTGAGAGGCTTGACATTATAGGAGTATTTACTTAAAAAATGAATATTGTTCAGTATGCCGATATAACATTTCAAAAAAAAATATTTGATGTTGAGAAGTAAAAAACAAAACGAGAGAACTGTTTCTTGGTTCTGAGAAACAGTTGCACAACCAATGAAAGGGTGGAGGCAGCCGTCACTATAAAACTGATATAAAATTAAAAACTACAATTTAGTATTAGTTTTTATAAGTTTTTGATGACTGCCTCTAAAGCTTTTACTAATTGTGACAGATGGGGAAAGATATTAAACACTTGGCTGCAGTTACTGTAATCATTGAAGATGTTTTGATTTTCATGTCAGTAAAATAAACAAGTATTATATCTCCATCTACTATTTTTTTGTAGTGGGATCCATAGCATGTTGCTTTAAATCAGTGGTGTGATACTCAATTTCATTGAGGGCCGCATCAGGGTTGCGGGCATGTTGGGGATGCCTGTGATGGCCCGAGTGATCTGCCAGTGAAAATGGAGTTTGGGAGGCCCTCCCAAGCTTCGTTTTCGCTGGCAGAGGTTGCAGGAGCCTGTTGCAGCCACCCAAGCTCCGTTTTTGCTGGCAGAGGTATCGCGGGCCAGTCCTTTGCTGTTTCCAGGGCCAGTTGTGGGCCAGTTCTAAGTACCCCATGAGTTGAGTTTGACACCCCTGCTCTAAATTCAGTTCTGAGTAAAAATATTAGGAGCCACTGGAAAAACACAATGGGTTTGATCAGAATTCTGGGATTCTGATTATCAGTATATCAAAAGTCAGACCTCAACTTACAGCAGTTTGTTTAGTGACCATTCAAAGTTATGACGACACTAAAAAACATGATTCATGAATGTTTTTCACAGATACGACCTTTGCAGCATCCCTTATGATCATGTGATCAAAATTCAGATGCTTGGCAGCTGGTTCATATTTATGACTGTCGCTGTGTTCCATGGTCATCATGTGATCCTCTTTTGCGACCTTCTGACAAGCCCAGTCAATGGGGAAGCCAGATTCACTTAACAATTGTGGCAAGAAAAGTCGTACAAAACTCACTTAACAAATGTCTCACTTAACAACAGAAATTTTGGACTCAATCATGGTCGGAAGTCAAGGATTACCTGTATAACACTAATCATATTGGTTAGGGCAACATCTGAAAGGTTCCATATTTCCTCATGCCTAGAGATGACTCTTCTAGTTATCTTTTCTGAAAAAAATGCCTTCAGCAATTCATCACCATGGGGAAAAAGGAGGGCCCAGTGCCCTGGTCTTCACAGTGATAAACTTCACACTTCTAGCTTTTTGAATCTGATTATCCATTTATACTCAGTGGAAATTCTATACTGGTGCCTCAGATGCCCTTAGGAAGGTAATCATAATTTACCTCTGTTTCTTCTCACTTCCTGAAGTCAAATGGCTGTTCACAAACCCAAATGAGGTTCCATTAAACATGAATGACACCCCCACAGCTCCTTTGTTGCCTGTTGGAAAAAGTAAATGAAAGAAGAAACAAAACAGTTTTAAAAATAAACCCTTCCTCTTGCTATTTAAGCTAGATATCTTTGAGGATGCAGAACTGAGAAACAGAAACCTCCTGAAGGTTTTCCCAAAAACTTTTTAAAAAGCAAAAATTGAGTTTCTTTTTACTACTCAACAAAATTTAATCAATTAGTGTTTTGAAAATAGACCAAGAATCCCTTATAATTTTAATTTTAATTGAACACATAGTATAAAAGGAAAAGGTTCCCCTTGCATATACATTCTAGTAGTTTCCAACTTTAGGGGGAGGTTCTCATCTCTGTTACAAAGCCGAAGAGCCAGCGCTGTCCGAAGATACCTCTTTGGTCAGGCATGACTAAAAGCTGAAGGCGCATGGAATGCTGTTACCTTCCCACCAAAGTGTTCCCTATTTTTCTACTTGCATTTTTACATTTTCGAACTGCTATGTTGACAGAAGCTGGGACAAGTAATGGGAGCTCACTCCATTACATGGCGCTAGGGATGCGAACTGCCAAACTGCTGACCTTTCTGATCGACAAGCTCAGCGTCTTAGCCGCTGAGCCACCGCATCCCTTTTCACATAGTATACTGCAAAGTTATTTCTGAAAGTAAATTGTAATATAAAGATACATAGACCTGCAAAGTTACTAAGAATCCCTGTATTCCCATCATATCTGTATAGGCATACATGATATAATTTATCATTCAACTTAGAGACAGTTGTGGATTGTAATGATTTGTGGAAGCACTTCTATGAGCCAAATCTTAGTATGAAAAGTAGTATAGATCTTTATGAGGTTTTGGTTGGTTGGGTTTATTCCCCCCCCCTCCCCATTATGTCTTGGCTTACACATACATTATCTACTGTCCTTCCAAAGTTGTCCTGTTTTTTTGTAATTGGAATATCATGTAATATGTATGTATATACGTACTATATGTATGTATATAGCAGTCATTTATTTTATAAACACTGGGTAGAGATATTTCATAGAAAAAAATACATCTGAAAAAAAATCTACCAGAATCGCATCAATGGAGTTCCAGGGGAAATTGTAATTAGGGAAAGAATTGCTATGGAAACCAAAAACAGATTTTTTTATTACTTAACTGTATCCAAATAATATCTTCATAAGCACTTAGTTCCTATTTTAGTTGCATTCATTTTACATAGAGGTGGATAGTTGTAAAAAGGTATATATGGGAAACTTGCAAATTAATTAATTAATTCATTTTCTACTGATGTTGTAGAGAGCTTGATTAATATTTCCCCTTGTAGTCAACATTTAGCTTGCTATTTAAGTATTGAGGTTTTGTATTATACCTATTTCTTCTATTATGAAGTTAAAGTTACGATCAAAACTTAGCTCCGGTTATATGAAGAACCAATGTGATGGATAGATCATGAGGACTTGTCAAGAACTGAGAAAGATTGAAGCACACAGAAAGAACAGGTCAATTGCCTGATTTGGGGCCATCATCTTCACAATATAGAGCAGTTAGTGAGCCTTAAAATCCAATGCTAATTTACATCAGCCCCAAATCCTGCTATAATGGAATGTAATCTGGATTCCCAGGATGGAAGGATTCCCAGAAGGCAAAGAGATAGCAAAGCCTAGGTAGTTTGCTGGGAGAAAGAGAGTTAAGAACAGAGGTGGTATTTAGCAGGTTCTGACCTTTTCTGGAGAACCGGCAGCAGAAATTTTGAGTAGTTTGGAGAACCGGCACATACCACCTCTGACTGGAGATTTTACAGTATCTTTTCCCTGCCACGCCCACCAAGCCACGCCCACAGAACCAGTAGTAAAAAAAAATTGAATCCCACCACTGGTTAAGAAGGTTCTGCCATAGCAATTCTCAGAATATATCTTTAGTTATGCAAATACTTGCTTAGTTTTGCAAGATTTCTGTCTATAGGTGAGAAATAATAAAAGAAACTGTTCAGAAGTAAATTTACATGTCTTTCTTAGCTCTTGGGGGCCCAACATCTGTTTCAATAATGTTTTTTTCTAAAAACCTTATGGGTTCTATTAACAGGAATACAAGGAAAACCCCAGCAGTAGTTTTCTAACAATGAATGAAATCTGATCAGCAGGATAAATGAAACTCTATGTCAGTATGAGATTCCTTGCATCCCAAACTATGGTGTTATGAGCTTGAGTTGCTCTATCATTAAAGACTGAATTACAAAAGACATTACTGTATAGAACTTCTGTTTATTTTTTGTAGTATAACATATTTTTAAAAGTATGTTAATGATAACTTCCAACTGAACTGGCTCAGTTGTTAATACCCAGTTTAATGAAGATATTCCAAATCTAGTTCCAATTTTTATGGAGATAACCAATATTGTCCTCAACTTTATTAAAATTATCTTTTAAGAACAATTAGTGGATTGAGAATGGGAAGCACCATTTTTGCATTGATTTTTCTCCTACTTTGAGGCTGGTTCCATTAGTACTAGTGGTAGGGAGAGCTCTAGCCCTAGGTTCCTCTTTGTAAAGTGGCTTAGATTCTGTTCTCTTCCTGCTGTATTAAACATCTCCATGAAACCACTAGGTGAGATCATCAACTGACCTCATGGGATAAAGTATAATCAGTGCTCATGGTACATAATTATACATCTTTGTTCCTGCTCAATCAAGTGATGCTGTTGATGTTCTTTTTTGGTACTCAGAAGCTATAGGTAAGGGTTCAGCAAAACCCTAGCAAGATTAAGTAGTTATGGGCTTTGGGGTCTCCTTCCATCATTGGAGTTGGTGAACAATATGTAGGTTGTTTGCACAACTCTATGTGCCAATTGAATCTATTCCTACATTGAAAGGCTTGAAATGAAGTAATAAAGGCAATTTGATGGACAGTGCAGTATAACCATATAATACCATATCTCAATGAGCTGCACTGAACCAGGCAGGCTTCTGGGTGAAATTCAGGGTGCTGGTTGTCACCTATAAAATCTTCCATGGAATGCAATTATCTACCAGATCACCAATCTCCAATTTTCCCTGCTCATCCCATTAGATCTGGCATACTTCAGGTAAGCTTCAGATCCCTTTATTGTGACTTCTTTGTTATGGCAACTGCTTTCCAAAACAGTGTTTCTTCTGCAGTTTGGATGGCCCCAATTCCATTAGTGGTTAGAAAGACTTTAAACACATGATTCTTCCTCCAGGTGCTGGGGCCATAAACTTAGTTGAATCAGACTGTATGACTGATTTTTGTAGGCCTTGGCACTTTGTATATTCTTTAGTGGTTTTAAGTTGAATTTGTACTTTTATTTTTTTAATGAAGTTAGCAACTCAGTGAGGGTAAAATGGGTGACCATATAAATTGAATAAAAAATAAACATTTACTCATAAGTAAATGAGTAGAGACCTATATATAACAAAAGTAACTTTGTTCCAGTTTATTTTATAGCATAAGAGAGTCAACATCTGAAAAATCACAATTTAAAATGCCTTATTTGGATATCTGCTCAATTCTTACCCAGTCTGTTTGCAATCCCAGTCTTCACAGTATCAACGCAGAGATGGCTTATGCGATTTTCATGTTCGGGTTTTGCCAGTACAACAGTCCTGATGTTCCAGAGAGTATGGGTTGCTATCTAATTTTTTAAAAAAGTAAAAATCAGCTGCCACACACCTCCACATAAATCTAGGTATCTGGATTACAATAACTAGGGACTATACATAAGCCTTCTCCAATGACTTATATTGAGTTTTTTTAATGTTGTCATGATCAGAATTATGATGAGAACCAATTATGTACAGAAACAATATACTGAACAGAAGAAGAATGCTGAAGAGGTGTTAACGCTATATTTTCTATAGATATTTTTCATTTAAGGATTGTGGAATGAATCTAAGTACATAGTCCCACTATTATAATGGAGCCATGTTTTAATTAACATTGTAGATTAATGATAAAAGCAGTTTTATCATATTATAGCATAGTATCTTCCAAATCATGAACTTTCAATGGATTACAACTCCATCCATAGTAACTATCAGGATTAATGTTACTGTATTGCCCAAATATTTGCTGATAAACAGTGATCCCATTTTGGAATTAGCTCAAAGGGAGATCCTTGTGCTCCACCCAGATCCTTTACAGTTTCCTTGGCAAGGAAACTACATATCTATGAAGTCAAAAGTTGAGCTTGATTTATTGAGACTTTATTACTATCTAATGGTCTTTAGGAACATCTAATCTATCATTTCAAAAAAGCAAATACAGATGCATTTTGGAAGTGATGATTTTTGTTTGCATGGACCAATAGAACAATCTAGTCTCTAAACACAATTTTAATCATTAAGAAAAATTCTTACCACTTTGAAGCTAATACTGGTAATCTCTTGTAAGGAATGCCTTAGAATCTCTTGCCATTCTTTTTCCCCCAAGGAGTCTTCCTGTGTTCCAATCACATAGATGTCATGTGGAATATAGTCAGCCGTCTCATCACGGGTCTTACCCTGTCCCTTGGAGAGAAACCAGGAACTGATCTTCTTTGGTGGAGGAGCATCACCTTGATTAGCAAATCCCAAACCAAAATGAGGATAAGAAACTACCATAATAATGAATCTAGCTCAATCTTTACTAGAGTTGGACAACCTTCTTTGAAGCTAGTGCTGTCTCACTTTTAAGCCATATGTTTTTGCCTCTGAAGACCACAGATTGCAAAGTAGACTATGAAGGAAGATGAACAAAAAATCTATGAAACTGGGTTCTCCTGTTTACTATATTTAATAGTTGCATTAAAGCTATCTAAACCTCAGCCAATTTGGAGACTTTAAAAAATAACTAAAAATAGAACCACAAAAAACATTAATTTTTCACTATGAATTAGTAGTGCTCAGTGACTGCAAAATGAGGCAACAGGACCATAGATTAATAGATTATATTCCCCAAATTTCCTATAAAAAGACTTGTTAGAGCCTTATTTGATAATATTCAGGTATAATATTCAAACTGGAACAAACACTGCCTTATTTTCCCATCCACTGGACCCTGAAGAAATATACAGTATGTAGAATCCCATTTGGTCATTAACATAATCATATATGGAACTATTTATTGCCTTATTCTACCTTTATTTTTGTTTTATTTCCCAACAGATAGTTTCATAATTAAATAAATGGCAAAGGGAAGAGAATCAACCCGCTTTTATAAAATTTGCTACACCTGTAGATTATTTTATTTTGCTACGCAATTTTAAAACAAATAAAGAAAAAATAGGAGGAAAGAAGCCCACAGAGCTGTGAATAAGTTCTGATTACTCTGCCATGCAAAAGAAGAGTAAGGGATCATCTATGTATGTTACGTGCATTTATCTTAAAGTAACTGAGCAATATAACAATGAGGTAACTGGAAAATCTGTAGTAGGGATGTAGAAAAGAATTTTATCACAGATTCTGTTTTAAGCATTCTACTTTCAGCACATTCCATATCAGCACAAATGTTAGCAACAACCAAAGTCTAGGTAGCATTTGTCCCTTCCCATTCAAAAATATCCACAAACATACACTGGCACACACTTCTGAAAAGAAAGTATGCTATTCTCTAAAGAACAGTACAGTAATTTGTGTTATTGACATTGGGAAAAGAAGCTGCATTAGGGAATAGTACATTATCAGAGATGTGTGATGTGAATTACAGAAATTATTTTCTGGCAATTTATATTAACCTCTACATAAAATAGTAGAAGATTAATAGAAAGGGTTCAATGCAGTTATGTCAGGAACTATTATATATATAAATAGAAATTTTTCAGTTTTTTGAAAAGAATCTCTAATAATCTTGCCAGATCAGAATATTGCTATACTAAGGCAGACAATAGAGTGGACCAGATTTTTTTTTCTGTACGCCTCAAATTATTACAAGGTTGCTAGTTATAATGTGCAGAATATCTGAACCAGAGATCTGTACTATCTCCCTTTCCCCATCCTCTTTTCTGATAAGACTGTAATTTGTATAGCAGAGGCTGGGACATAAATTTGAAATGTATACCCATATTCCAGGTCCCAATGAAGATGGTGATCATGTCAGGCTCTGGTTGTTCAGAATGCTTGTTCTTCATTTGCTGTAGAAGCTGGCAGAAGCCTTCTCTTTTCTGAAAAATGAAAGAGTAAAAAAATAAAGGAAGAAATATCATAACTAACTCAGTGTTATTGATCAAAGAGCGCCTTCATTTGTTACATGTACATAGAAAAAATACTTTCACAATGACATGTGTCAAGGTTGAAAGTTTCAACCTAAGTAGCAACTTGTAAGTGATCTCTTTGAATTGGTAACATTTCCACTGATAGTTAAGACTGTTTTTAATTATTTAGAAGCTGGACAAAATGCTAACCACAGAAATGTTTAGATCAGTTCAAATCCTTCCTTAGTTTTACTTCTGTCGTGATATGACAGCTGTATGACAGCTGAAAGAATTTTCAGTAAGTTGCAGAGATAAAACAGTTGATTTTGTTGACTTTAATCTATTAGAATATGAATCCAAATTAGTCAGTTTCTTGCATTCGTGAACAGAACCGCCATTGAGATGGTATTATTTTTATGGTATTATTTTTTTTACGAAATGTTCTCTAGATGCACTTGGAATTTCCATGGATAACAAAATAAGAAAAAATTAAAAATGGTGTGTTCATATTTTCTGTTCTGAGTGGGCATAAACACAGAAAAAGAGAGAAAGACTATATTATGAGCAATCACATTTCTAAAAAAAAAAGTTGAAGTACAATCCAGTCAGAAACCTATGATGGGACAGTCAGTCATACTGGGATGCTATAAGGTTAGATTACCATAAAACCTGTTCCCATAGTTCTCCATACATAATGAGTATAAATAGTTCCTTCCCTAAGACAACTAGATATATCATAGAGAGCTGATCTTAATGGATAAAATGTCTGCAATAGGAAGTTTTTGAGACATGCAAATGCTTCCATTTGAGCTGATGGTGTTCTGGTAGAATAGAGTCCCAGCACAAGTATAGAAGCCCTTATGATTCATGCAAAGGCACATGTTGCAGATATGATTGCCAATTCACTGACATCACAGTCTTACTGAAAAGAGGAAGGGCTCCTTCTCAGTTTCAGGATTCATGGAATGACCTCCACAGGGAGACAGGCCTTGAATCCAATGTATTGTCCACAGTGAAAGCAAATAGATTCTTCTTTATCCCAGGCATTTATTGTATATTGTTTTAAGCATTCATGTTATATCATAATAACAGGATTTATTCATTGATTCAGTTTATATCCCATGTTTCCTTCAGGGACAAAAAGGTCTTTATATATGTCTTTATATATGTTCTTAATTGGTTCTACGTAGTTTTATAAACCACCCAGAGAACTATAGCTATGGGAAGATAGCTACTGACATGGGAAGATAGCTATTTATACACTATGAAGCATTCATAGCAATCATTCTTAACCTGGATATGTGGCAATTCAGATTATGTCTTATACCTATGGAGAAAGGTAGATATCTCTTTTAGAGAAAATATATAATCTCCTTAAAAACTAGATTTGATTCAGTGTTTAAGATTAATTAGAGTTAATTCTACTGTCCAACTGAGCACATTTCCTTAAGAACGAAACATAAATTATCAGGGACTAGACTGTGTTTGCTAGGTATAAGACTTTTAATTATTACCCTGAATTCTAAATATAATTTACTGAAACAATTTGGAGGAGGGAAACCCCTTGGATTGTTTTATATGGAAGACATAAATCTTCATTCTTTGCTGCTAATAACCCTGGAACAAGGAACTGATATTTCAAACAAATTCAAATCAGTAGCTTGAAATAACTTGATCAATTGACCTTCCCTATATATATTTAACATGAGCCTGAATCAAGATGGGCAGGAAAACAAGCTTCACATATCAAATAATAGACATCTGGGCATGCCTGGGGATGTCCTTTATTCAGAAGTGTCAAGAATATGTTTATTCCATATTCTGTTTAATAGCATCTGTATGACTTATGTGGTACTTACCCACATGATTCTGAAATTATATTGTTTATTGTTCATTATTTTTATTGAGCATCCACTTTATTTTAGTGCTTCCTGAATACCTTTCCCGTAGTCCTTCAGTTCTATCTTGAGGAGTTTCTGTGTATTTATAGCATCCTATCCAATGTACATAGATATGTCAGAGTTAAGCTGTCTAGACCTCTTGAACAATTAAACTGAGCATTCTTGTCTTCTGGTTTACAGTTTACTTTCATTGTTTCTGATATCCCAAGCTGAACAGCTAGAGATAATATTTATTTATCCTTAAATACTTATTTACCCATAAATATTTATTTACCCTTAAATTTCTCTTGAAAACCTCTGTAAATTGTTTCAACATCAATTTCTCTAACAGAAAAATGAGGTAAGTTTTAAATAAATAAATGCATCATTTTGCATTTGTAATTAATGAAAATAATGACATAAAATGAATAGTAATGTTTCTGCTTTGTTAAACCACTCAGAAGGGAGCATTTTACCTTAGAGTCAGCAAAGACATATTCTTTCCTTTGTGCTTTTTCTTTTTCTGTCTCTAGTACAATGACCAGCTTGTTAGGAAACTTCTGAGACTTGATGAGCTGTAGGACTAAACAGAAGTAAAAACTAAGTCAATCTTAGAAATTTTGAAACTGAAAGAGCCCATGCTAAATAATATGTGTTCCCTCGCAGAACTTGAGTTGTACAATCCAATCTTACTGGACAATGATAGGCATTTAAAAAATTGGCAGTGACTCAAAACTAAGCCTTAGGTGCAAATCGATTGTGGTTTTGAAGCCTCATCATGCTGGAATAATTTCTGCTCATTAAACTGTAGGATTGCCTAATTAGAAGAACTCGGGTGAGTCGTATGTCTCACACAAACTGCATATCAATTCACTATTTCGTAAAAAGATATGAGATTGTCACAAAAGTCAGCACTGATGATTAGGAAAGGTATTGATGTGCATTTTTTACAACTAGCAGAAACTAAATTCGAAACTAAAGTCCAATTAAAGGAACAATTCACATTATAAGAGAACCATGCTAGTAGGGATGTAGCAAAAGTGCTGTTTGACAACTTTATTATTTCTTAACAGCTGCTGATGTAACTTGGCTGACTTGGAAAATATCTTGCATGCAATAATTCTCCATTTTGCATTCCAAGATGAATGTTAAACATATCATTTATTAGAGCAAGATATCTATTAATCTGTTGATAATTTAAAAATGGCTAGAGAGGACGTAATGGCAGAACTCAAAAGTGGTTGACTTAGATTTGGGTACATTGAGGCAACTGGTTTAATGTGCTTTTTCACAGTTTAGTAAGCAACAGAAAGTATGCCTGCATTTCTTACTGCTGATTTCTGCTCTGCTTCTTTAACAGTTTAGTGTGGAACAACTTAAGATGCTCGGGCAACTAACCCTTCATCCCTGTGGATCTGGTGCTGGGGACTTCTCAGTAAATCAAAAGAGCCACTTCTGGCTCAGCCTGACCCTGCCAAACAATGCACCTATCAGTTGTAGTATTTTTCCTACACAGGTTACCATGTGACAGGCAAGTGTAACTGAGTGGGGACTTTCTGCTACATACCAGTAGACCCCAACCCCCAATGCATCATCGCCACAGTTGCTGCTGAAGCACCATACAAATCACCATTCAGTGATTTTGATGACTATAAAACTTCTCAGCTGGCATGTATTTTAATAGTCTGTATATTACATTGGTGGAAAACATCATTTTGGTGGAAAAAAAACCTCTAAAGGCTCTAAAGTTAGACACTTTAAATATAGGCAACGACACTGTTGTCCTTTGTAGGTGACCAGACAACCTGACAAATTGCCAGGGCAAGTTATCACTTTGAAAGAAATAAAAGCTTACAAACATTAATAAAGTAGCAATTTTACTTGTTGTAGGAGTGCTATAACAATCTCAATTGCTAAAATAGATTTCCAAAAAGACTGAACTAAACATATTGTATAGGTTCTCCTGCTTGATAGGGGGCTGGATTAGAAAACCTCCAAGGTCCCTTCCAGCTCTATTCTAATTCTATATTGCGCTATTACCCAGATCAGATAAAAAGAAGTTATGGGTAGTGGAACACCACCTTATATTACTTACTGATTGCAATAATATTATTAATTATTGTATGTTGGCTTCTTAGTTATACTCCAGCATACTCCATGCAAGAGTTTCTTTTTTTAAAAAAAAAAAACTGTCAATTGTCCATTTGTGTATTAAAAGTGCCCACCAGAAGATATGTAGTCTGCTACAATGCAGCAGGAGTTGAAATGCTACTGTTCTAAAGTAAATAGCATTACATACAAAGGCCTGGAGTTTTTAATTTTTTCTCCTGTTATATGATTCATATGTTAATTAATGAATCTATATTGAGTAAGAGTTGTAAAACATAGTAGATATAAAACATATGTGCAGTGAGAAGTACTACTATTGGTAATGTTTACATCCTACATAAATTAGAAGGTAATGTAAAAGCCAGATCTGGGCTTCATCCAGTTCCTGCTGAGCTTCCTAAGGAAATATCTGGAATGTCTTCTCCTTGAGCAGCTGTGAAGATGAAAGATATGCAGATACTGAAAATAAACCTCTTTTCTGGCTAGACTATCATGTATAAAAATGTAAACGGTTTCAGAATTAATGATTCTGAATCATCATTCAGTGATTCTGGTGACTATAAAACTACTCAGCTGGCATTTATTTTAATTCTTGTATTATTTCAATTATTTTTATATTTTTAATTTTATTCACTGTCTAGAGCAGGGGTAGTCAACCTTTTTATACCTACCCCCCACTTTTGTATCTTTGTTAGTAGTAAAGTTCTCTCTAACCGCCCACTGGTTCCACGGTAATGGTGATTTATAAAGTAGGAGACAAAACCCCTACCGCCCACCATGAAAGCTGGAACACCCACTAGTGGGCGGTAGGGACCAGGTTAACTACTACTGGCCTAGAGTCATAGTATCGGGGCCCCAAGAATAAGAAAAGCTGCTTTAAAGAATTTTTTATTCTGGGAAGCATCACAGGGGAATATTGTAAATAAAGTAGAAAATGGTAGACAGAAATGTTCAGTGTCAAATGCATGTGAATTAAAGGTAATCAAATTGAGAACAATTAAATGAAGTATTTATGAAAACACTAAAGGAAATTGTATATATTCTTGATTTGGTTTTTCTGCTGACAAAACTTAGTTTGAACTAATGAAATCAATATGTTAATAAAATGAACTAAATGGAATCGATATGTTAATGAAATATCTCAAAACTGCATGTTTGCGTCCCTTCAAAAATGCTTTAATAATAACACTTCTACTTTGTGCTTTATTATCCAGAAAAATTCAGTGTTTTGTTTAAACAACCTTTGTAGATGATTGCTTTTCAACTATCAGCTGAGGGAAAACTGATTCTCAGTTATTTATTTCAACTTCCCAATTTCTTATTTTATTTAAAACTCCACATGCTCTCTCAGTAGGCTTTGGACCAGCCCAAATGTTCTATTTATGTAAGTCTTCTCCAGTCTTGTGGAGTTAGTATATTGAATACTAACAAATTCTTAGCTGTTGGTTTTGTAACTGAGAATTCCAGTAGTTTTGCTAACTGTATTTATTCCATTTCTAATTTATGCAATAATCAATGTTCTGGAAGGAATCGACAGTTACTAAAATAAATCTAAAACTTCAGAAAAAAATGCCCCTAACAGTTAGCATGAAATGCAAACAAAACTGGAAAATAAAAGTAAAAGGTGATCCAAAATAAGTCATCTCCTTATTAATGGCAATACAATCCTCGATCATTACCCCAAGAGGTTCCATGTAAGATATAAAATATCTATCTATCTATCTATCTATCTATATATGTTTTCTTAAGTTTTCACGGGTATTTATATGTATGGTGTTCAGCTTTGTTCGGGTATTTTCCCACGTCATTATAGTTGTGCTTTTAAAGTTGTAGCGACGTTTTGGCAGAATCTCATCTGCCATCATCAATACACAAGCCTGATGACCCTAACCCTGATAACCCTAACCCTAACCCCTAACCCCTAACCCTGACCCCGACCCCGACCCTAACCCTAATCCTAATCCTAATCCTAACCCTAACCCTAACCCTAAATATATATGTAAGGTATTCAGCTTTGTTCAGGTATTTTCCCACGTTATTATAGTTGTGCTTTTAAAGTTGTAGCAACATTTCGGCAGAATCTCATCTGCCATCATCAGGCTTCTATATAGTATTCGTCTGTGAATCAGACTTTCACAGCCGTTTCTGTTTTAAATTTGGTGCTAGCCTACTGCTGTGCCAGAATGGTTTTTTTCTTCATCCTGATTGGTTGGGAGTCTTGGTCTGTGTTTATTGGTCTTGGAGTTTGCTGTGTTCTGCTTGATTGGTGTTTCTAATATCTTCTGTCTGTTTTGTAGCTTTTTTTTGTCTTGATTGGCTGGCAACATTGTGTTTCCTGTATTGGAGGCTTTTAGTGCGGCTTGGCTCCAAGTAAACGGACAGCTATCATTTATTTACTCCGTTTACTCGGAGCCAAGCCGCACTAAAAGCCTTTGAAGTCGATGCTATGATTCAATGGCACCAAAACCCTAGCCATTATAGAAAACTCCAGCTACAGAATTATCAGAGAAGCCATAGAGATTGAAAAAAGACCCGAAAGCATGAATAGAAGAGATGACTCCACCAGACTATCAATTATCTGGAAGCCTGCACTCTCAAACAAAAAAAAATCTCCACACCACAAGCCAGGCAAACACCTGGGCATAAACAGACTGATACCTCCAGCTCAAACACACCCCAACCAGGCACCCAGGTGGGACTAAAATTGAGTCCCAACTCCGAGCAAATACCACAAAACAGAACTATAATTTCCCACCATCACCTTCTTGAAACACTTTTTTTTCACTCTGTCTCAATTACTCTGATGCTATATTACCTACTGCAGAAAATCACTGAGGAGAGCAGAATGGTTCAGGTTTTATATAATTAGTGAAAAACAGTCACCCAACTCAGTCCAGATTGATAATAATTAAGCAGCACTAATTTGGTGTTACTTTGAAATTTTTATTTATTCTTATATTGCTCACAAATCTCCTTTCCATTTTCTTTTTATTATTTGGCTTTGTTTGCTTTTGCTTTAGGCTATGTGCATTTTAAACAGTCACTTAAATAAATTAAATGAGACCATGATTGATAGTATCATGCTGAAAGATCTCAAAGACTCTATAAGCATGTACACTTTGTTTTTTCCTCATCGAAGTCATTTCATAGGGCAATCAAAGCACTTTCTGTTTCAAAGCCAAGCCTAAAGCCAGACTGAAGAGGATCTATAAATGCCAAATATCAGGGGAGAGAAGGCTGTTCTCATCACTGCCAGCCTAACCCCTCTATAGTCTTCAGTTCAAACATCTTTTGCTTAATAATCTCAACTACAGAATAAAATGTAACCATGATTTAAAATGTACATCCCAACTTTGGCCATAAAGATGACCTGGTGGTCTCTCTGGACTGCAGTAATACAGTCCTTGTTTGGTAGATCCCCCATCTTCTTATTTATTTATTTATTTGATTTGCCAATTGTTTACAAGATAATAAGTATAAATGTATACATAGTTGTGAATACATGAAATGGGTACATATAAGAAAAATAAAAGAATAAGAGAAACAATAGGACAGGGACGGTAGGCACGTTGGTGCGCTTATGCCCTTCTAGCCAAGCCAGGAAAGCAAATATCACCATTTCCCCCTTCTGTGGGCATAACATTTGTGGAATGGTCTCTCTCTCTGCTGAACCTGCTAAACAAAGAAAGAAATGTCTTTTCATTATTTTTCTGTTTGCACTGATGAGAGGAGGACATAAGGTTGTTTCTCAGCAGGCAAAAAATGGCCAATGGGCAAGGCATACAGTAGAACCTCTGATCATGAACACTTCTGACCACAACCAAATCGGGTTCCGACCTAAAAATTCACTATTTTTTTTTCCAGCCAATTTCCCCCTCCACGCCATTTTTTTTGTAAGTGCCAAATTTCAAAAATTAGGTTCAGGTCACGACCAAATCAGGTTGTGACCAAAGTTACAGAACGAATTATGGTCATGATCATGTACTTGTCAGAATGCATACCACCATTTGCAACTGAGGCATTTGCCTAAGATGAAATGAAACATAGCAGCTCTAATGGACCATCCTGCTTGCACCAGCAAAGAGGGAAAGTCTACACTTGGCACAGAGCAGCAAAATACTGTCTGATCACCTTCAAAGCAACTCTGGGTTGGGCTGATAATCCTACTCTTTCCAAATGAAAAGTAGCCTATTCTTGCATTAGGGTGAACAAGAAAAGTAGATCAGCCCTAAAAAGATCTACTGCCAGGCACACACAACAGAGCAACACGTGTAGAGCTTATACTAGCTGCTTTATTGTTCTATGCCACTTTCACAGGAATCTTCCCAGACTGGCAGATATGCTAGATATGGTTCAAAGACCTTGCCTCCTTGCATTTACGAATCCATGCTAATTCCCTGTTTGATCCCTCCACCAGACTGGGATGGTTGCTCTCCAACACCTACTAGGAAAATTAAAAAACTCCATAATACAAACATATATGTCTATCAAACCAACAATAAAATGAACAGCTAAACATAAAAATAAGAATTTAGATACTGCTTTGATTGTTAGAACACTCTAAATTATATGTTCACGTCACAAACTGATTGCTCTATATCAGTTCCTCTAAAGTTGTTTCTAGAACAAAATTCTTCATAGTTCACAATTCACATGTTTAGAAAATCCATATTATTCTCATGCTTCATTTGAGCCTTTAAATAAAATAGAGAAGAAGGAACTAGGAACTAACTTCAGTCTCCCTGTTGTACCATTTTATTTCTTTTCACCAAGGTTTAAAATACTGTACATTCTACCTCCTTCCTATGCTTTTATGATGAAACAGCAATCAGAAATAGGAAATACCCTACAGTTTCTTTTTAAAGCTAGCTCTTAAATAATGCCACAGTAAGTTTATTTCTTTATCACCTACAGTTTTTGTCTGATTACCCAAAGAAAATTATCATCACCACCAATCAAACTCACCAATCTTTTCTCTTTGAAGGCACAAAATGTAACAACCATTTATAATGAAACTTCCTTCTGAACCACTAAGGCATTTCATATATAAAATTCCACTTAAAGTTTGTACGCCTCAGTCTGTTGCTCAATCAAAACACTACCTGAATGTGTTCACTATAAAAATATTAGAAAGCTATAGTGTAACCTCTGCAGTCATATATTTGCATATTCAAAATTTATGTCTTAAGCAAACCTCAAAAAATGTAATTCCTCATACTCTACCCAGGTGAGCAAAATGCTGAGTGAATGAAAATGGGGCATGTGATCCACCCACTTACTTTTTTTGTGAGTGTAGAATTTATCTTCAGGACCATCCTTAGCTTTCTTAATAATGAGTTTTCCCATCTCAACATCAACTTTAAGATGAGTCTTAGAAGAAATCCCAAGGCAATCTGCTTTCACCTATGAGAACAGAAGAAATGTTACTTATGCAGACTTTCCATATTACATGGCTAACTTGCATAGAACATAGGCATAGGATAATCATGTTGGAAGGGACCTTGGAGGTCTTCTAATCCAACCCCCTACTGGAGCAGGAGACCCTATATCATTTTAGTTAAATGGTTGTCCAATCTTTTTTTAAAAGCCCCAGCAATGGAGTATGCACAACTTCTAAACGCAAGCTGTTCCATTGATTGATTGCTCTCACTGTTAGGAAATTTCTTCTTAGTTCTAGGTTGCTTCTCTCCTGGGTGAGTTTCCATCCATTGATTCTCATCATGCCTTTTGGTGCTTTGAAAAAGAGTTTGATCCCCCTTATCTTTTTAGGAGCCCCTCAAATATTGGAGCACTGCTGTCATGTCTCCCTTAGTTCTTCTTTTCATTAGACTAGACATAATCAATTCATGTAACTGTTCTTCATATGATTTAGCCTCCAGCCACCAATCATTCTTGTTGCTCTTCTCTGCACTCTTTCCAGAGTCTCAACATTTTTTATATTGTATTTTGTGTTTTATATTGACCCAAACTGGATGCAATATTCCAAGTGTGATCTTATACTTTGTAAAGCGGTACTAGAACCTCACATGATCTTGATGCTATTCCTCTAATACTATCATTATATTAATTGTACAGTGATTATTTTAATGTTATATTAAACATTTTTTCAGAGAGTAAGTGTTGCCTTGGCACTTTGTCACTTTCAGTATGAACATGGTTTATTTTTTTAAAAGGTGAGAACACTGTAGCAAGAATTATAAATAATCCTCTATGTGACAAGATAATACTTAAAATTCACCTCAAAGGTAACAGGAGGAATAAGTGAACGTCTATGTGTTGGATCTGGCCCTTCAATCAATACTCTTTTCACCTGTAAAAATATAAGAATGAATAGTCCTACCTGACAATCTCAAACTTCAATAGGAAACTTTATGAGAATCGTAAACTGTACAATAAATTATTATAAATAAGCTGATTGATTTAGCCATGACAATGGTCAAAGAAAAAAATATTCTAATTTTTTCAAGCTCCAGACTGTAACTGTATGAAGGTCAATTGTCATATAATAAAATAATGAATGCTTATCTACAATTTCCAATCTCCAGTGTCTCTAAGAACCTTAAATGCATATGACACATGACCAGGTTATTTTCTGAGTTAATTTAAAGTTCACACAACAGGGGGGAAAAACCCCTCCTAAAGGAGTAACTGGTTTTCAAAATGCAGATTTGGCAATTTAGCACATGAATTGTTAGGAAGGTTACAGATAAGAATATAAGAAATAGTGGGACATTTTTTTAAAAAAAAATAGAGTATTAAAAATAATCAAAAGACTTTAAATAAAAAGATATAGTACAGCTGAAGATGAAGTGGCAGCCAGAGAGAAATCTAAAATTCACTGTACCTTATCCTCTATGGAAGAAAGCAAACTTGTCAACTGAACCAATTTTGCACGATTGACATCAAAGGATGGCTGGTAAGAGTGTCATAGAAAAAGGTAAGTATAAGAATAAAGGAATACCATTTTCCCAATAATTCTGGCATTTTATCATCTCATATATATTTCAGAAAACATTGCAACCTTATATTATCCCAGTGGGTTATCAGTAATCTGAATATCAGACTAGAATGGAACTATATTTACTTAACGGAAAGGTTAAGCACAAAAGAACCATTTCAAACCCAGTGCTGGTGAAACTATTGTATATATACCAAGACAGACTATTTGAGCAATTTATTGCCCAATTTATTATGGACCATCCTAGAGTTGGTTGTATCATCTTCCTTCAAACAGATGGAATCACATTGTAACTCCCAGAATAGCTCGGTTCCACTAAATCAGGGGGTCCCTTAAAGTTGCCAAGTTTGGAGACCTCTGCATTAAACTATAGGCTTTCATCTTCAGCAACAATGAAAAATATAACATTCAGAGGTGGAATAACCAACCTGTACTGCTGGGTCAGTGACCAAAAATTTATTAAGCTGAAAGAAAATTGTAGTAGTATAGATCATTCACGTATAAGTTTAAAACAGTTAAATTCTTCCGTCATGCTAATCATTTCCAGACAGTGGAAATGTAGGAATAGGTGTCTAGAGTTTCATACTTTAATATCAACATTTTAAAATTGGGCCAGTAGAAAACTGTAACCTAAGCCAAGTCTTTCAATATTAGAGGACAATGGCTAGATACACATCCCACACTATCCATAAGAGCAGCATGATAATAATGAAGATATGAGGTTATCAATCCATGACACCTTGTGATTAGGTTATTTATATCCAAGAAGCATTCTAGATGGCATTGCAATCAAATATAGAAAAGACATTAAAACATTGCACACTTCTCCAGACCAGCGATCTGCTCCTGAAGAATGAATGTGGCTCCTACCTATTTCTGGAATACATGCTACTGCCATGTTAAACATAATACAATTAAGAAAAAAATTGAAAAGAAGATTTCAACTAAGAAGAATGCTTTGATAATAATTGCCATAAATTCTGCAATCCCCCTTTTAGTTGATATGGATTTTGAAACATATATTGTCAATTCCATGAAATCATACCTGAGAATGTCGATGGGTACCTGGGGAAAGTTGCTGATCAAACACCCTCTGTATAGATTCCAGAGAAGGTAAAGTCCGAGACAACTCACTGAAATGCAGAAGTCATGTATATGAAGACTTCATTTTTATAACAGTTTGGTTATGCAGTACTCCATTAGCATTCTCCAATATTGTCCTCTCTAAATCCATTAGGATGACAGGTTCCAAAATTCTCCAGCCAACCAGCAAATAGTATAGAGTATAAGATGCTTTGTCAGTTTTCACATAGCTTCAGATTTCTACATTCTAACAACATGTTCTGCATTTCTTTTTGGTTCAGCTGCAATTTGGTCGAAAATAATAAATGTTGGCTTAGTTAAGTAGAGTTTAGCTTGGTTTGTAGACCCTATGGCCTTTGCATCCCCATTGGACAAAATTCTTCCCTCAGCGTTACTTTTAGTTTTTGAGCTTTAAAAGTATTCCACATGGAATGCTGGTCCAATGATTTTGCATCCCCATGTTAAGAGCTCAGGCCAAAGGTGCAGTAACCTCTAACTAACTAGTCAATAATTTATATAAATAGTTATAAACAGAATTCCCAAACTGTTGATATTGAAATATGCCTACAAATGAACTTGTGATTACTTGAAGAGTCCTTTGCAGAGTCCTGTAAGTAGTTTCTTCAGCTGAGGGAGATTCCATGAGCCTAGTTGTACATTTTCAAGATCATTAATTATATGAACTGTCAAATAATCCTGGATAAGTTTGAGATGCTCTTCTGGAATACTGTGAAAGAAAGAAATTTGAAAAAACAAATGAAGCATTAAGTTTATATACCTAAATTTGGGCAAATGGGAGAAAAAGTTCTTGATGAAAAGGAATTGCAACAGTTTTATATAACTCCTTTTTCAATTTCTTACTAGTAATGAATAAAGGTCGGAGAGTGACAAAAGGAAAGAATTGTGTCAGAAAAGAACTCTACTTTGTCAATAATGTAGGATAATGGGGGATTTAGTCCCATAACTTCTAGAAGAGCTGGATCAGATGCTGTCTACTAATGATTTAAAATTTAATTTTCAAAAGACTGATATGCTCAGGGAAAAACACAAGCTAACTATATAAATTTAAACAATTATAAAGCAGCATCTATCTTTAGTTTCCAAAGTAATACTAATAAAGAGGATTAGTACAATTATTCCATTACTGAAGATGGTTTAAGAGAGCTTGCCTGAGCCTCCTTGTACATTTACAGAAGGAACATGAATGAAAGAAGTCCCTGATTTGAATTAGTGGGCATCATATGAGTGTGTTATTCTGAACAATGTTGGAAGTGAAACAGTGGTGTGGAGGAAAGATAGAATCATCTAAGCTTTCTCCCAAGGAAGCTCATATAAGATTGCAGACCAAAGCATACATTTTCTTTCATCAGTTTCTTGTTTGCTGATATATCATGCAAGAATAGCTTGTTTTATGAAAGGAGGAAGGCTTTCTTCCTGTCTACCACCCACACAAAACCAAACCTCCTAACCTTTTCCTGAGAGAACATCCAGCCAGCAAATTTGTTGCTATCTATAATTTTGCACCCACCCTCCTATCAAGCAGGACCCTTTTGAATTATCTGCCTCTAATATGGTCACTAAAATGGCTGGATTCCTAACATTTTAGAAATGAACAGAAAATGGATCATTTCCAGTTTCCATTTCTTGCTATCATTGCAGCAGTACAAGCAGAAACATTTACCTAGTAAAATTGGTCATCTTCTTCTGTTTTTATAAAATACCACTTAGGAACAGAAAAGCGTAAGTAGCTGGCTGTATCAGCATTTTTTATTCTCACAACACACAACCAGATCTCTGGGATGCTTCTAAACAAGATGCGAAGACAAACTCTTCCTAAACTGTTATTTCCCTGTATTCTGAGTACAGCCTTGATGGACAGAAGGAAGATATGTTACTAAGGCAACAACCAGATAAACATTAGTTGAGCCCAGAGCAAGAAAAAGATTTATGAAGATGCCCCTCTCCCCTATTCACATAAAAATAAAAGAGGCAGGAGAGAAAGAACATTCAGACTTGCAAGGTTTTGTGTTACTATAGCTGTACTAATAAAAGTAGCTTTAGACCCATACTGTGTCTAACTTTGTTATATGTATAAGGCTGACATCCTGCATTCTGGAATTATGTTGTCCCCAACATTCATTCCTCAAGACCAAAATGCTATAAAGATGTGACTTCTGTGAATGTATTCAATAGTAATGACTTTCACTGATTAATTATATGCTGTGTGAAGAACTGCTTCCTTCCTTCTTGCTAAAATCTTCCAAACAACTTTGCTTGTTGCCCTGGTCTTTGAGTGTTTTTCTTGTCTATTTTTTTCAGTCCCATGCTTGATTTTATATAACTCAGTTAACCTCCTCTCAAGTGCTTTTTTTCTGAGCTAAAGGGTCACAAGCTTTTGGCCCTTTTTCTTTTAAAAAGTTTTTTTCCCTCCCCCCCCCCCCCCCCCCAAAAAAAAAAAAATCTATTATATTTTGTTAAATGCCCAACCAGACTTGGGCATAGTACTCTGGATGAAGATGTATCATACATTTGTGTAAGGAGATTATGATGTTGGCATTTTTAGTTTAAATCCCTTTCCTTATTATCAAAGCATGACATTTTATTTTCCACAGCTGTCACAGAATGAGCTGACATCTTCATTGAGCTACATCCTGACTAGTTTCAAGCAGCTTGGCCTTCATCAATGTTTATATAAAGATAGGTTTGCCTCATATTATTTTTCACTTATAAACTGACTTCCATCTGCCACTTCATGCATTTTAAAATGATGCTTATAGCATTGCCTATAATTGCTTTTGGCTTTTATCACTCTGCATAATATTATGTGCAAACTTACACAATTTCCTGCTTGTCTATAAGTCAAGAAAATTTAAGAACAATTTATATTTTAAGCACTCAATTTCTTACTTTTTCCACAAACAAAATTGTCCACTTATTTCTACTCATTGCTTTCTGCTTTTTAACCAACTGGCAATTTATAAAAAGATAGTATATCTTATCTCACAACTGATAAATTTAGACACTTGCACCCATGTTGATGAACCACAAAAACGAAACTTAGTAAAGCAAGATCTGGATGTTTCTCCAGCATGACTTCTTCCTCTCTGTGCCTAGTTATTCATTCTTTGATAACTAATTGTACTAATTTGTCTGGAACAGATGTTAAGATCACTTGTCACATTTCCCAGATATCCTTTTTTTAAAAACTGGTGGTCCATGGATTATCCTCTGGTCTGCATTGAGTTTGATTTGAATGATTGGTTACATTTTTAAGAACTCTTGGTTTTGGTGCAGGAGTAAGTTATTACTAAAATGTCTTAGAATAGTAGTTTTCAAACTGTTTCAGACCATGGGAACATCATTATTTAAAAAAAAACCCAATAAAACATTTATTAAAAAAAAATATTGGAATACCCATTCAAGAGAGATGGGGCTTCTGAATGTCAGCTGATAAGCATTGCCATTTTTGCTGTATCTTAGCTACTAAGGGGTGGGGGAGCTCTCTGCAAGAGTCTAAGGAGGGGGAAGGAAAACTCTCTCCAAAAGTCTTTTTTCCTGCCTTGGTCCTCCAGAACCTATTCAAGGTCTTGAGTTCATGGAACCCTATTAGAAAAACAAATTCCTAGAATATGTTATCTTCCTGCCTGAGCAAATCATGCTGCAATATTTTAGCAGATCAATTATTACTCCTGAATGTCCATTACAGTATAGATTATATCATTTATGTCAATTTACATCATTTGTACATTAATGTGTAATGAAGTTACAATGTAAATGATGTAAACAATAAAATAAAAGCAAAATTTACTCCCTCATCTGGATACTTTGGTTGAAACAAAGAGCGAATGCATTATTTGGGGAGGATATTTACACATAAATTTGGTCTATTGCATCTGTAGTCTACTAAGAAAGAGTTTTATTAAAGTTTTGCTGTACATAATTCTTCAGTAAAAGGCTGAAGAGGCAAAGAATTTGTTCCATTTCTCTACAAGTTCCTCATCTTCCCTGAGGAAACATTTAATAACTTTGTCATCTAAAAACTCAACTTTTAGAAATTCTTATTGTTCTCTTTGATTTTTGTTGCCTCTGGGTTTTTTGTTTTTGTTTTTTTGGCATTCCCTATTACCACTATACACTTTTTTGCCAGAGGTTTTTTTTTCCTCATTAGGACAGGCTTTCCATTTCCTGAAGGAAGGCCTTCTTAGTTTTTACAGTTTCCTGGACACCTTTACAAAGAAATGCTCTGGCCTGTTCCTAGAGTTGTCTGGAAACCTTTTTTTCAAGAGAACTGTGAAAGGAAATGAGGAAAATTCCAGACTTTCTCATTCTTCTTGAGAGAAATGGTGATAGTTCTTACTTGCTGGTATCCTGGTGCTGTAATCGCTGGAGCAAGGTTTCAGAAAGAGGTGGTTTGCTAACTTCTGTCATCTGGACATAATCATTGGGTAAAAGGTCTTCCTTTGTTTCATTTACTGGAATTGAAATGCTGCGTGGAGGTAATACAGGTGGAGTAGGCAAATAATCTGTCACCAAAACAAGATATGCACATACTATGAATTAGGGATTCAAAAATCAAAGTGCTACTTTAATTATTTAAAACATTCTACTTTTCAATGGGATACTATTCTTACCAGAGAATACTTCTCTGTAGGGTAACCTCTGTGTATGTTGATATAGTAAGATGACAGCTCGATAAAGATTTTGATAACTTAAGTATAAATCCTCACATAAACATGAAAGTAATTTAATGACTATGGTACAGTCAGTATGTTTCAGCTTAATCTATATGGGGCAAATTACCGCACTTTATCAGATAATGTTAAAAGAAACAACAAAATAAAATGTATAGTGGAGTGTGTATATTTCAAAGACAAACAGGAAAAAAGAGGGGAAGGGAAAGAAGGAAAGGAAGGGAAAAAAAGGAAAAGAAAATACATAGAGTTATGAAAGACTAATCAAGACTTAACATTGCCTAATTTGGAGAGGGAGTTTATGTTTAATCAGTTTTCAGACTGCCTGGATATTGTGTTATATATGGGAAAATATACATTTCTCACAGATTTCTATTAAAAGGGCAGCACAGCAACACAGACTACAGTTTCAATTTCTTCTTTATCACAAGGACAGAGCCATAACGCTTTTGGTATGTTATGGAACCTTCAGTCCAAGAGAGCAGAGGAGAGGATATTACAGGGAGCAAGAGTAAAAACTTTTCTGAGACAATATTATAGAGGCAGTGTGGAGGAGCAACTCTTTTCATGGGTTCAATGAATTAATATATACTGGAGCCTAGCCAAAATCATTTTGCAGAGTCATATTTCCAGCATGTTGCTTACAAAATGCTTTAGCCTAATCAAATTCCATTGGAATCAATACATGGGGGAGCCCACAATGACTTAGTGTGGTAGCACTCTGAATTTGTCCTGAAAAGTCAAAGAAGCCAGAAAACCTGGGTTAAAAATTACAGTAGTTTGAGCCAGTGCTATTCAGATATGGGTTTTAATTTTTAATTGGAACTAATCTAGCTTCAGGGTTGAGCTAGGAACACAATAAGGAACCAAAGATAGATTCCTTAAGAAGCTTGCTTGTACAGCTTCTAATGGTTCTTATATGCACATATTTGGAAGCCATAGGTTAGCTATGATATTATTTTGATCTTACTTCTTGTCCACCAGGATATAATCACCTCTTGTTGTGCACACACACAAAATCTCAGTATAACAACTTCACTTCTGATCTTTTTTAGGAACTGAATTTGGGCCAATGGAATAAAAAACAGTTCTGATGTATTTGAAGGCTTCAACTTGTTCTATAGCATTCCCATTTATTTCTTATTTATGATTGCATCTAGAAGTTTAAAAAGACCATAATTTCAATTTCTTTATATTTAATAATTAGTTGATCATGCAGTAAGAAACAATTGATTTTAGACCTCTCCTCAAACCAATGAGTGAAATAGAAATGATGACTGCATCAGCTGCATATAAGAGATGTGTGACAGATCTACTAGTCAGGTTTGGAGGAAGATGTTCTAATTTTGTGAGATGTGCTCCATATCATTAATATAGAAATTAAATAATAAGGGGACTAGATTATAACCTTGCTTTACTCCCTTATAAGTAGTCACCAGACCAGAAAGATGCCTTGGCTGTCAAGTCTTATTTGGATATAAGTAATGTTATGCCTAATAAGCCCTATGAACTATTAATAGAAGAATCTCTTCAGTTTCAACCACAATCATTCACTGAAGACTAAATTGAAAATTATTTTAAAATTTATTAAAGCCACATACAACCCCGCCCCCCAAAAAAGTGGGAATATATATTTCTTAGTTAGATGTTGTAATTGCTCTCTCTATCATGATCCCAGCTGGCTCTTCTGCAAATATGTTTTCCTCTTCCGACTAGTCAATTAATTTCCAGTAAAGATTCTCATGTGGAAAGATCTGTAACTCAGTGGCATAAAAAATATAACTGAATCTGAAGAAATTTCTATGGAGATTCTCAGTCATCCAGGTCAGGGTTATTCCAAAGCTGCTTTTTTCAAGAAGCAATTGGGCATTCTAGTTTTTCTTTGAAGACATTTCACTTCTTATCCAAGAAACTTCTTGAGCTCCGATTGGATGGATCCTTCCATTCCCCACCATTCAGTCAGATCTGGAGAAGCTTCTTGAATGACAAATGAAATGTCTTCAAAGAAAAACCAGAAAGTCCAGTTGCTTCTTGAAAAAAGCACCTTTGGGAGAATCTAAAGAAAGAAATTTTAACAGACAAATTAAAGCTAAAATTACATATTGTTCTGGAATTCATTTCTGTATTCACACCAAGTGTTTATTGTTGAAAAACATGAGGCACCAGAACTATAATGTGACCTGTTCAGCTGCTCCAGAGTTGCCTGATCAGCTAAGATGCCCCAGTTGACTGATGTCTTCTTTCTCTGAAGTTAAAAGTTGGTCTTCTCTAGACCCATCCCCTATCCATGAAGGGCATGAAGAATCATGAAGATATGATTCTCATATATCATTCAGGTGCATGTAAATACACTCCTCCAGACTTTCCTCTATATATGTAGAGATTGAAAAAAGATAGCAGCAGGATTGTATCCATTTTCCTCCCTGTTGTTTTCCAAGAATTAAATAAAAAAAAAAAAACTAGATAGTAATGTCCTCCTTTCCTCCCTCCTTCCCTCTCTCTACAGATTTTATTAAAAGAGCTGAAGCTCACTTCATCAGATGCATTACTTAGATAAACTAATGCAGATATAAATTTATATGAGCATGCAAGGAGAAAAAGAAAAAAAGAAAGTCATTTTATGCAGATACAGGTTACATGAGAGACAGTGGAAAGAGTATGTAACAAGTGGTCACATAAGGTTGTGCCTATGAAGGCGTCAGAGGAAACACGGCCTTCAAAAATGGGGCACAGTAAACAAGACGTGGAGGTCAGAAATAAAAATAAATGATGGTTAAAATTAAAAACCTCTGAAAATTGAAATGTAGGGGCTAGAGGTGGCATGGAAAATAAAAGCAGAAAGGAAAGAAGACTAGAAGGTATAAAACAGAGGTCCCCAAACTTGGCAACTTTAACACATGTGTAACTCCCAGAATTCTCCAGCCAACTATACTGGAGATTTCTCAGAGTTGAAGTCCATACGTCTTAAAGTTGCCAAGTTTGGAGGCCTCTGGTATAAAAGTAGAGAGTCAGGTGGGGAAAGTAGGGTGGAGCATAGAAGTTTAACCAAGAAGGAAAAATGATCCACCAAAAGAAAGGAAAGGAATAAATGGGTACTGTAAAACAAACAATTAAAACAAATCAAAGTGTAAGGTGAAAACACAGCAGATCTTTTTCTTTCCTGCAGCAGGAAAACATAGAAGAAATTGAGGATTGTATTTTTGAGCTTTTGATGCAACAGAATCTTCTTTCTCTAGCAAACATCGTGCCCAAAGATGGGACTGGTCACCTGCTTTAGAGGTAAGACTTTAGTTTCTAATAGCTCTAGCATTATCTCTACATTATTTCTTTCTGTTTTAATCATTTGTATTTCCAGCCAGCTGTTGGAATAATGTACAGCCACAAGATCGCTAATTGGGATTTCCCCAGAAGAGAGAGGGAAGAGTATTACTGAAAACTCCCCTCTGGATGAAGCCATGGCACCAGCATGTTTAAAGGACTATATGTAAGAACCAGGGAAGATTCTACATAGGATTCACATGGAAACCAGTTCTCCAACTCAGGATTAGTCTGATTTCGGTTGAGGCTACAGCTGTGTCATGTGTATAATCTTGTGAGTTTCTGAAACAGAGTTAAAGCCTTTCTCCTCTGAAAAGTTTTGTACATTGTAATTATAATTATAGATGCAGTTTTCATCTGTTTGTTTTTAATTGGAATTTAATTGGAATTCTATTGCTTTAACCTTGTTTTGGAGCTTTAACTTTGTAAACCGTTAGAATAGTATATTGACAAATATGTGTCCACTGTCATGTTAGAAGAAGCAAGACAGAAACGTCAAGTAACATTTTGTGCTTGCCAGAGAAACTTTAAAAATCTAATAAAAGCAATATTAAGTAGATATCAGTTTGACAGTATGATCAGTGAAGAGAATAATCTACGCGCCCAGTGCAATTCAAAAGTAAAAACAAACATTTTAAAGAGAATTATGGCTCAGCTTGGTACTTATGACTAAAAGGAACACAATACTCTAAAACTACTAGAGCAATAGATGTTCTTGGATTATTTTATTATATTGTTTTGACACACAACAGGGAAATACCTCGAAGTATATAATTAGGAGACCAATAATATGCTTTGCATTTTCCCAGGGCATTCTATGCTCTTTGAAGAACAGGATGAGATAATATTCTTGAATTATATTCATTACGGTTGGCTGATAGGCAATGTTCTGTTTCAAAGAATTGTTAGAGATGTGTATTCAACATTCCTTAATTCAACAGGTCAATTCAATTCCACTGTAAAACTGATTACTTCAATGGTGGGATTCAATTTTTTTTAACTACCGGTTCTGTGGGCGTGGCTTGGTGGACGTGGCAGGGGCAGGATACTGTAAAATCTCCAGTCAGAGGTGGTATTTGCTGGTTCTCCAAACTACTCAAAATTTCCGCTACCAGTTCTCCAGAACTGGTCAGAACCTGCTGAATACCACCTCTGGATTACTTCCTTCAAATTGGCAACTTTAGATTAGTAAAAATGTAAATTATTATTTTTTGAACTTCTTACCCAGATCTTCTTCTAGATCATCTGTTGTCTCCTCTTCTTCATGTGGGACTGGGAATTTAAGGCTCCGGACCAGCCCCATGTTCTCTTTCTTGTAAAACTCTATCAGTTCATCTAAGCTGTTGAAATATTGCACTGGAACACCTTCACATGCCTAAAGGCACCAGAAATATATATAGATATATAGATATATACATGTATCAAATATTGCTGGAGATTTTCAACCAAATAAGCATGTTGAAGTGGTTAATAAGACACTTAGCAATACAGTGAAAGCACAGCAAACACAATTATTTTTAAATACACCTTTCCCCATTTCAGCCAGGGTTAGGTTTTTTTTAACAATATATGTCTAAGCAGGAATTCTTATTAAGTGCTTCCTAAAGCCCACTCTTCATATTCTTCTTCTGTTTTTCCTCTGCCTTCTTACTTTACTTGTAGATTGATACCCAAAAAGTGTTTTAAACAATGGATAACTCAAACAGTGAAATGAGTACCATGTAAATTTAATAAATAATAACTAATTTGGTTTAATTTATTAATCACAGATATTACTTTAAGGCAGGGGTATCAAACTTGCATCGTCAAGGCGGTGTCATGTGACATTGTGCCTTTTTTCCCCTTCACTAAACCAGGCATGGGCGTGGCTAGCATGTGATGCATTCGGCCTGCAGGCCGCAAGTTTGACAGCCCTGCTGTAAGGTATGCATGCTGTACCAATAAGGTGACTCATTTTATTTCCTAGTTTCTTTCATTCAGACCAGTGTCAGATACCATGATAAAAACCACAGAAGCCGAACATGCTTAATTTCAATCTGAGGGGGGATATATTTATTTATTTTTATTTTATTTATTTTGATTTGTCAATCACTTACAAGATAATAGGTATAAGTATATACATAGTTATGAATACATGAAATGGGTACATATAAGAAAAATAAAAGAAACAATAGGACAGGGACGGTAGGCACGTTGGTGCGCTTATGCACAGACCTCTTAGGAAAGGGGTGAGGTCAATAGTAGACAGTCTAAGGTTAAAGTTTTTGGGGTTTGGGGAAGAATAACCCCTCTTTGCCTTGAAAGGTGAATAGCATTAAACAAGACTATCTTACAGGTTAGGGTTAAGGTTAACAAGATCACAGGCACATCTAGTCTATACATGTGCTACACTTCACCAGTGCAAATTCTGCATTCTCTCTCCTCCACACCTGCCAGTGTCAGCTTCAGTGCTTCAAGCCAACTGCTTTTTTCTAGCCATTTAAAGAAAGGAAAGGTGACTACTCTGCGTTCTTTCTAAACACAACTAATTCTTTTCTGACATAAGACTAAACTAAAAGACTCAAGGTCCATCCCACCCTTGATAGGACCTGATGGTAAAGACTGCAACGACGACACCATTAAAGCCAACCTCTTTAACACATTCTTCGGCTCAGTATTTGTAAACAGCAATGGATCATGCCCAGTATTTCCTAGCCGTACCACAGATAACAACAATGATCTAATACATATCGATTTTACAGAAGACAATGTTGAAAAAGCACTACGCAATCTAAAACCATCTCTATCTATTGGACCGGATGGAATATGTGCCTACTTCTTAAAAAAGCTATCCACTGCCATAGCCAAACCTCTAAGCATAATCTTTGAAAAATCTTTCAGGACCAGCTCCTTTCCTAACCTATGGTCACAAGCCACAGTCATCCCCATCTTCAAAAAGGGAGACCCAAGCCTAGTTGAAAATTACAGGCCAATCTCCTTATGCTGCGTCACCTGTAAAGTCATGGAATCAATTATTAACCAATCCATCATCCTCCACTTAGAGACAAACAACCTACTCTCCAATAAACAATTTGGTTTCAGAAAAAAACTATCCTGTAATCTGCAACTCTTACACTGCAAAAACATATGGACGACACAACTCGACCAGGGCAAAGCAATAGACGCAATCTACATAGACTTCTGTAAAGCCTTCGATTCAGTGGTACACGACAAACTACTCCTAAAAATAAAATCCTATGGTATCTCTGGACAACTGAATAACTGGATAGAAGCATTCCTGGCAAACAGACAACAAATGGTCAAAATTGGAAGCGTCCTATCAAATTCTGTACCTGTCAATAGTGGTGTCCCCCAAGGCAGTGTTCTAGGACCAACTCTCTTCATACTCTACATAAATGACCTCTGTGATCATATTAAGAGCAATTGTGTTCTTTTCGCTGATGATGTAAAACTGTTCAATACCACAGACAATACTGCTACCCTACAAAAAGATCTTGACTATGTATCAGAATGGTCAAACAAATGGCAACTTCAAATCTCAACAAATAAATGCTCTGTCTTACATATTGGCAAAAAAAATATATCAGAAAATAAAATACAAGCTGAATAGTCAAGATCTTGTTGATGACCCAAGCTCTGTAAAGGACCTTGGAATACTCACCTCTAATGATCTAAGTGCTAGAGCCCACTGCAACTACATAGCCAAAAAGGCATTAAGAGTTGTTAACCTAATCCTACGTAGCTTTTTCTCTGGTAATATCACACTACTAACCAGAGCATACAAAACATTTGCTAGACCAATACTCGAATACAGTTCATCAGTCTGGAACCCACATTACATATCTGATATTAGCACAATTGAGAAAGTCCAGAAATACTTCACAAGAAGAGTTCTCCACTCCTCTACTCGTTGTAGAATACCTTATGCCACCAGACTTGAAATTCTAGAACTAGAAAACCTTGAATTACGCCGTCTTCGGTCTGATTTAAGCATGGTATATAAAATCATACATTGCAATGTCCTACCTGTCAATGAATACTTCAGCTTCAACCATAACAACACAAGAGCACACAATAGATACAAACTCAATGTTAACCGCACCAAACTTGATTGCAGGAAATATGACTTCAGCAATAGAGTGGACAATGTCTGGAATACTCTACCCGACTCTGTAGTTTCTTCCCCAAACCCCAAAAACTTTAACCTTAGACTGTCTACTATTGACCTCACCCCTTTCCTAAGAGGTCTGTAGGGGGCGTGCATAAGCGCACCAACGTGCCTACCGTCCCTGTCCTATTGTTTCTCTTATTCTTCTTTTATTTTTCTTATATGTACCCATTTCATGTATTCACAACTATGTATACACTTATACTTATTATCTTGTAAACAATTGGCAAATCAAATAAATAAATAAATAAATAAATAAGAGTCAGGCAGTCTTTTTGCACCAGGGTTGCATCTTAATCTGTTTGACTGTTCAGGACCTTAGGAGGTAGCAGTGATACAGGATGAGCCTGGAGGGAAGATAAATGGACGTTTAGCTCCCTATGCTTCTTTGGGTTGAGATAGACAAAAGATGCTTAACAAGTTTTACTGCTTTGATAAAAAGTGGAAATTTAGATAGCCACAATTTGGCAGTATGAGCATTTAGGATGTAAAAGAAGATGCTGGGATGCAGGTGTGTGCATCTTCATGTGTGTGTAGGTTGTCTGTTGCTCCCTCTTGGCTAGATTAGATAAAGCATCTAATCTACTTTACCTCTTTTGGTTTTGACTGGTCAGGAATAGCAGCTAAAACTGTTGTGTTGCCTTGGTGTTCTAGGAAGAGCAAACCATGCACAGTTTTCCATTTCAGCTGAACTTCAATTTATATTTGCAAGTGCAGCTATTTACTGTTTTACAGATCTCCCCCCCCCCTCCATTGTCCCTTCCTCTGTATTTTTATTTTCCATTTTCAAATACTAACTGCTTCAATTCTTTGTAATTATGATTCAGATAGAAATAACTTCCTCATTTTTTCTTCACTTTTTTAAAGTTTCAAAATGATCTAATGGAAACTGATGATAAAAAAAAGACCACTAGCTTGTGGACCTAGAGATGACAAATTTACCAATTAAAGTTTCACTTGGTTTTCTTATTTAATTAATTAAATTATTAAATTAATTAATTAGACTTATTTGTTTATTTATTTCAAACATTTTGTATAACATGTTAATCTATATGACTTTTAATTTTTTCACACTTCACTGTTAGGCTTCACACAGACCATTACTCGAACTCAAAGGCTATCAGACAAATAATTGTAGTCCTAGATGCTGGTAGTGGGTAGCTTTGTAAAAAGGAAATAAAACTTCCTCAAATTTCTTATGTTTATTAAAAAGATTTAGCCCCACCGCTAATGTTACAGAAGATATCTGGAACAATTGAATTGATAGAATCAGTGAAGGGCTGTGAAGTAGAATAGTTTAAAAACATCAAAGGAGCGCCACTCCTCCACTGTTAGAAATACACTTTAAAAAATGTGTTCTTCCTTTTTTATTCGATATGGTTACTTTGAAAAAAAGGAAAGGACCACAAATTATCATTCTATATCATTGCTAATTATTTAAATATAATTGCTGCAATTCTATGATTTTGCAAGAGTAAATAGAAAATATCCATCATACCATTAAATATGTAAAAATATAGCTCTAACAATTCTGACTGCAGTATTGGTATTCATCAATAAATTATTCTGCACAATCTGTTTTTATAAAGGATCATCAAGTTTCTGATAATCTGATTTTTAGTAGAGTTTGTAAATAAAGAAATGGCTGCAGATATGTACAAGTTAATTTTTTGGGAAAAAATATTAAAAATGATTGCCATCATATTTTATTTTTAATAATGTATTTTTATTATTTAATAATTTGAGAGCTCTCTTATAGAGGTTGTAAAGTAATAGGGCAAATATTTTGAACATAAAAGTAATAAATAAAACACTTTTTCAGTAGGCAACAGAATGCCTTTGTGTCTTTTGCTGAGATTTAATTAAACATTTAAGGATCATTATTCCTAGGAAAATATTCTTCTTGGGAGATCTGAATACTTATGATTGTAAAATGTAGATACAGTAATGATGTCATTAATAAATGGTTGAAAATATTTATGGAGCTATGGGGAAGTAAAAAGGCCATGAATATGAATATTTCCTCATAACATATGTATTCTGAGTAGGATGTTAATTCTACCTAGTTATTATAAACCAGTTGTTAAATTATAGATTAATTGTGTATGGAATGGTCAAAGGGTCTCCCTTTTAAATTTATAACTTTCTTATGAAGATTTAGTTTTAAATTATATCATTAGATAAGGTAACAGATACAAAGGTAAGAG